AAATCAGCTTTTTTTGTATAGCAACACTATTGTTAAATTGATTTTGGCTTCACTCTAAAGATTTTGTACTACGCACCTATCCAAAGCCGGATTATACCTTTCGTACGCCCTAGGCACAGAGCCGGATTATACCTTTCGTAGGCCCTAGGCATAGCCGTTTTTGAGCCCTCCCCTCTTTTCAAAATATATGCTAAAATTTTCTTGAATATTTTTTTTTTGCATTTTTATTAATATGGATTTTAATTCACGAATTTGTTTATCGAACTTTATCTGCAATACCGACATACTGCCGATATTGCAGTTGATATCAATAATACCATTATGATTAGTACGATCGAAAACTATGTAAACACTTCACGTCAACAATACAACAACAAACCAGCAAAGAAAACAGTGAAACTGATAGTGAGATTAATTACAAGAAATATTTATACAGTAGAGAACCAATTATCCGGGATGCTCGGGACCATCGCTATCCCGGATGTCTGAATTTCCCAGTTTTCTGGATCGACCAAAAAGTGTCGTTAATCGATGTTTTATCGAACCCGAATTACAAGGAAAAAGTGTAATGCATAAAGTAAGAGAAAAAAGAAAGGTACTCCTAACTTTAAAGAGAAAAAAAAAATGGTAGAAATATAACATTTAAAAGAATAAAACAATTTACAAGTTTATTTGTATCTTCATAATTTTGTGCAAAATACACTTGTTATTTTTAAAGCTAAATTATTTTTGTCAAAAAAAATTTTTCGCCCAAGTTTTTCGTAGTCCCTAGGCACGTGCCTAGTGTGCCTATAGTGCAGGGCCTATAGGCACAGGTGCAGGGCTGGATAGNGCAAAAAAGTAATATATTAGATCATAAGATTCTGCAAAATAATTTATTACCGAAAAATATTATATTTTTATTTGTATCTTCATAATTTTGTGCAAAATACACTTGTTATTTTTAAAGCTAAATTATTTTTGTCAAAATTTTTTTTTCGCCCAAGTTTTTCGTAGTTCCTAGGCACGTGCCTAGTGTGCCTATAGGTTAATCCGGCCCTGCACCTATCCCATACCCCTGTGGCAGAATTTTCTTGGGATTTCTGCGACAAACTTCTCTAGCACTAATATCTTTCTGCAAGATGCTTTTAATAATAACAAGTATGCATGTTACTAATTGAATTTGAAGTAACAGAAACGTTGCGTTCACAATGAAAAAAAAACTTTTGAATAAAATAAAAATCGTATTTAATTTTTAAATGAATATGTAATGTTTTTTTTTATACATATTATTCTGATACAATGGCAAGATTCTCCCATTTTGTACGAAGAAAACACACTAATTATTTCCTTTTTCGCATTTCTTAAAACATCATCTCATCAAAAAAAAAATTAAGAGTCTTGTAATCTGTAGCAGTGACTGCTGAAAACAAGATCGACGGCGAAATCACGCTGATCGGACTTTTCAAAGGGGGGGGGGTACTAAATGCTTGTTTCGTTTCGAGATTCGGATGTTGTAATAAATAATATCGTATTTAAAATATAGGATTTTAAAGACTGTGTAAAATAAATGACCCCCCCCGCCCAAAAAAAAAGAAAAACGATAGAATCATTGTTTTAAAAATTAAATATTCATAAGCACGATTCGAATTCCCTATATTGTCAGAAATATATCGGGATACTTAAAAATTACGGGAAAATCAATATCAATAAGCTGCCGAAAATACAATCTAAACATTACATGGATTTGTGGTAGTATCGGCATAAAGTGAGAGCGTCAAAAAGAGATTATTTAATAGTGCAATTTAAATTTTCGAGTAGAAATTATATTGACTAAAAAATAACAGGAATTTTAAAAATCCCATGGAATTCAGTAGCATAGCACATGTAACAAAAACCCGAAAAACTGTTAAATCGTCACAGTAAAAGTAAATAATTTATTTCAGTTTCGAGTATAATTAAATTGTATAAAAAACATCGGGATTTGTTTCTTTTAAAAATATGAAAATAGAGCGTGGATTAACAAGAATATTGGCGCAGAATAAGCGTGTCAAAAGAATGATTTCTGGAGGGAAAAAAATCATTCAACATTTCTACAGAAAAGAAATTTCTTTCTTTATTATTCTATATTTTTCATTCTTAAATTAGAATAGAAAAATCAGGAACATTTCTTTCCTCTCTGATGTGCTAAAAAGGCATCTTTTAAATATAGTTTTAGAGAAAAAAAAATTTCTGCAGAAAAGAAAACCAAAATTCATTACTTTCTAACAGAAAATTCTTTCTGCAAGAACTCAGCAACATTCTGCGACAATGTCGCTGTGTCGCCCCGATTCTGCCACGGAGTCCCATACAAAGCACTTCTGCCATGTGATAGGTATAGTAAAATATTTCCAAATGAATTTCTTTTTGATATTTTGATTGACAAAAGATGAAATATTTCAACCATATATTTATTTTTAAATTCTTAACCTGGCTTATTACTATAGAAGGTTTCTGTTAGTTCATCTTCTGACGTAGAATCATTTTGAATTAGTCTTAGGATAAAAGAGCAGGCATTGTTTTACCTTTGTCTTTTGTATCGGAGAATATTGTAAATCAAAAACAAGTATCGTCTAAGGAAACAGCTGCCATGAATAACAGAACAGAGGCTAGATAGCATAATGCTGATTAAAATTCGTTTTGATATTAAAAAGAATATGACATTGCAAAGTCAACTTGAACTACTCTGATTTTAATTCTCTTCCATATTATTGAAAGTTAGTCCAATTTTCAGTAGTAATTTCAAAACATTCTTCCTGCACATTTGCCATCATATATTTTTTGATTATCAGCAATTGTCATCTTTTTCCCATTGTTATCAAACTACAATAAAAGATGGTTATAAATCTATAACAAACAATGAAAAATTGCTGTAAGTATCACAAGCACCCTTCCAACAATCCAAGATCACTTTCACTTTAATTACATAAATACTTTTACCATCACCATGTATTGTGATAAACTTGATTTTAGCCTTCCAGTAAAAGAATAAAAATTTCATGATATTTGCATTGATTCTAAGTGGTACAGTAGCAATACATTTTTTGGTCTAAAGCACAAAATTTGGAAAATTAAACAATGTTCAGGATGTAACTGACAAAAAGTAGTATAAGCTTCTCTTAGAAACATTGTTGAATAGTTATTTCGTTTTATTTACAGTTTTTTTCCTTTATAATCCAGACAACCAACTTGTTTCAATGCAAACATAGTATAAACAATCTAACTTCTGAAGAAAATTCATTTATTAATAATTAAATTCCTCTGAATACTTAGTGGTGAGACTTTTACATCATTATCAATCTGTCTTGAAAGTTCAAGTCTAACATTCTTTATTTTCTTGCCTTTGAAGTACAGAATCTGATGTTCTTTTCCTTTTTCTCTCCATCTTCTTATTCTTTTAACTCCAGGTAAAGACACTATTTTGAACTTATCTATTTTATAATAGTTTAGCAAATGCAGTCGAAATATTCTACTTAAACGTAAACATATAACAAATAGAAGTTTCGGAAAGCAATTTCCAAAAGTTTCAAAGTTATAGTCTTATTATGTCGTTTTTTTATTGATGCTTATACCGACCTGATTTTACAAAAAGCCTCAATCTTACAATTCTTTATTTGTGGTAATGAAGTTGGGCGTCGGTTATAATAAATGAACGAACATGATATCAAGTTTATATGGAAAATAAGTAATTAAGTAAAGTGTATGAGTACCTCTAATATACATAACGGTAACATGCGTAACTTTTTGTTACGTGTGTTATCTTGAATAAAATTGATTTTTAGATTTTAACTATTGGCAGTTTTAAATCGAGAATTTTTTCCATTGAATATCTTGCCTTCTTAATTTATAAAACAAAAATTTTTTTCAATTTTCTATCTTACTAAAGTTTTTACGGAAAAAAATGCAAAATTATGTTACGTGTGTTACCGGGAAGTTAGATTATCTTTATTAATCAACTTTTAATCACTCAAAAAAATTTAGGCCAAATGAAAAAAGTATATAAAACAATTATGAAAGAATAAAATACTAGTTATATATATTACTAAAAACTATTTTATTGCTCGTTAATATTTTGATAACTCCATTAGAATAGAACATAACAAAGTAGAGAACTCCTGTTAAAATTCAAAGTGTTCCAACTTTCGTTAGAATTAAAATAAATATTTTTTATAATTCAAAAAAAAAAAACATCTTAACTATTAAAAAATATACATCCTCTAGATTCCAAAATTCTGTCATTTTTGTTTTTACGATAATTTTGAATATTTAGTCACTCAGGACCACTTTTCGTAGAATCGCCCATAGAGTTAAAAACAAATTTTGTGATTACAGTTGAAATATATTTTATAGTTGTTCCACTTAATAAATATGAACTGTTATTTAAGAGAAGACAATTAGCTGTTTATTAGCTATTTTTTTATGCCATTTATAAGAAGAAATGACAATGATCAGGAATTACCCCAGTAATCAATATTACCCCTTCTGTAGGGGGCAACAATTGATATAGTTTCCTATAATCAATAATAATGTTTACAGTAGATGTGAAACAATTAAACTTACACTATTTTTATATCAAAGAAAAAGAAAGTAACTCGAAATATTTATTATTAAGAGAAGGAAAATGCAAAAATGTGCACATTTTGAAACCCATCTTTGAAATGGAGAATACAGAAAGCAATTTAAAAGATACTTATTTGGTTAGATTAAACAAAAAGCTATTATTAAGTAAATGTAGTTATACTTAAGTAAAGTGTACATTTTTAATGTTGCACCCATTTAAGGCATCTATGACATGGAGGAAGGCCTGTATATGTCCCTCCTCAATATTTCATACACAGTAAATATAAATTATCAATGATTTTAATATTAAAATAGTTCTGCAGATATTAAGGTTAAAATTCCTGTTTACAAATGAAATAACTTTTCTTTTTACTCTATTTCTCCAAATATATTTAGTTCACAAATTATGTTGTGTATTTCAGATGGCGATGTCAAATTATTATGCAGATGAAGATCATGACAGTACAGCTTATCTTCCTCCTGCAGAAAAGGCTAAAGGTTCAACTGCTAGTGGTCCTAGGTACCTGTGAACATCCTTCCTACAAAAGTTGAATGTTTCAAAATCTTTGTTGAGAAATATAATACTAACTCATAACTAAGAATGAACTTTTAATAATAGTATTTCACTATTTTTACCGGGATTTTCTGTGTATATTTTATTGCGCGAAAATTTCGTGAGTTTTTAGAAATTCCCTGCGAATATCTGTGGGTTATTTTTTCTGCAACAAGCTTGCAATCCTATTTCTGATTGTGAAGTTTTGCTACCATGTTAGAACATATTGCGATGTCTAACAGGCAATTGATATATCACACTATACGTCACACAGTCCTACCCATTTCAGGGGTTTGTCCAGGCCAAATTTACTACCGTTTAGCAGTAACTTCACAAATTCAACTTTAGGAAACAAAATACTTTTTCTTAAAATTTTATTTTTGTATTCCGTAAGAAACCGTTAATCCATATTTCTGTGTTGATTTTTTAATATAATTTTTAACTTTTAACAAATTATGCCTAAATTTTCACAAAATAGGTACCTCTCAGAAAAACCTAGACGGACCCCCCCTGCATTTGAAGTGAAAGATATTTATTATAACCATACATGGCAATCACATTACTTGTAGCAAAAGTACTTCTTTTTTAATTACTTTTTTGGTAAAAAGTACAAGTATTTGTAACAAAAATGTCAAAAGAAATAGGTACTTTATTATTTTTAAATTTAATGTATTCTTTAACAACTTACCTCACAGGATTATCCAAACATTTGTTCCTATACAATAAAATAATATTCTAAGTAATAAAAGATAAACATTCTTTTGCTTATAAATTTTATTTAATGACAAAATATATTAAGAGATGATTTTATTTTTGATCCAAAAATGTATTTATTATATTAAAGTACAATATAAAATATCTATTTAAATTCGCTAGAAATTATTAAAAAAATTAATTTCTAAGCGTCAATATAAATTACAGAACAAAAATAAAAAGAGATTTGTTTACAAAATATTGGTGGAAAATTAGTAGTACGCCAAATCCAATACCCCTGCTTTGTCGAAAAAGCAGTAAAAATATCTGAAATTTTATATGAATATGATATTTAATTTTAATGAAAATAATTATATATGTTAACTACATTATAATCTATCAATTTAAATAAATTGTAGCTATTTTACAAGTTGAAACCTATTAAATTCATTCTATAACCTTTTGTGGTAACATCAAAATTGCAAATAAATGTCTGAAAAGGAATATAAAAGAATAAAAATCTTATTCGTGAAAGGTAAAGAAAAAGTCTTTGCATCCAGCAGTATGCGACCATTTTTAATTGAATTTTATAGTTCAAAGCACAGCTCAGTAATCCATCTCTATAGTAAGAGGCTTGAGGGATGCAAAGACTCTCTATGTAAAGTAGGGGTGCACAACTTTTTTGAGTGAAGGGCCACACTCATATTTGAGTCATGTTAGCAGCAAACATTATAATTTTTATCTAAACATTAGTGTTCTAAGCACCAAATATGTTTATCAGTAAACTTAACATATTTGCAGAAAACTAAATATTTATAATTATTTGAATTTAATTAAAACTAAAACAACTGATACATTTTTTAAAAAACTTTTTCCATTTTTCACAATAATTAAATTATCAAATATTTATATATATATATGTAACATAAATATTTGGGGGAGGGGATATAAATTCTAACCAAAAAGAAGCTTATGGAATGAAAGTGCAAAAAAGTATGCATTTTATAGAATAATATGAATTTGAATTAAATATTTAATAAAAGAAATTTTTTATTGTGTTCCCGCAGGCCGCACATGAACAGTCTTGTGACCCTCAGNAGCTTATGGAATGAAAGTGCAAAAAAGTATGCATTTTATAGAGTAATATAAATTTGAATTAAATATTTAATAAAAGAAAATTTTTATTGTGTTCTTAAGTTCCCGCAGGCCGCACATGAACAGTCTTGTGACCCTCAGGTCATAGGTTGTGCACCCCTAATGTAAAGCATTCTTCTAAGGAAAATACAGGGAATTTTCATCTTTTAAAAAAAGTGCAATCTATGAGATGTTTAAGGATGATATTTCAGCTATATTAAACTAATTCATTTACTTTACCATTATTTGTTTTCAGTATATTCAGCTATTCCTTTTTTCCTTAAGTTTCTTCAGCCATTATAACTAGTATAGTTAGCCCATTACGGCTCATACAAGAGCTTCAGTGATTGTATTTTTCTTCCTAATATATTTAGTATAACATGTACCGAAAAAACACAGGGAATTTTATTACAGATTTGAGTGGCAGCCCTGCGTAAGAGACAGAAATCCAAATATGTGAAAAATGTTTATTCAGAGAAAGCGCATGTCTGGTTTGTTAATACGGTCAAACCCTGCTACGGTGAACCTTCGAGGGACCGAAATTTCGGTTCACTCTAACCGGGAGTTCACTATATTCGTACTGCAAGCAATTTTAACTCATTTTTCCGAACTGCTCCCTTTTATGACACATTATTTAAATTAATGACCCATAAAAAGAAACATGAAAATGATTAAAAAACAATCTGTTAACTTTTATTTTTCATGACTCTTTGTCTTGCGTATTATTTTAGGAATGGGAAACAGAGATAGAAGAAGCAAACAAGAAAAAAATGCTTATGGCTACATTCCACTCAGTCAGGGCCAGATTAACCTATAGGCACACTAGGCCTACATATAGGCCTACGAAAAACTAGGAAGAAAAAAAATTTCTGGCAAAAATAATTTAGCTTTAAAAACAACAAGTGTATTTTGCACGAAACTATGAAGATACAAATAAAAATATAATATTTTTCAGTAATAAATTATTTTGCAGAATCTTATGATCCAATATATTACTTTTTTGCAATTTTTGGATTCAACGAAATCTTGTATTATGCTGTCGAATTTTATAAAAATGTCGAATATTAATAAAATGTCAAATATTAATAATATGTTGAATACTAATAAAAATGTTTAAAAAAAATATGCAAGAAAATTTTAGCATATATTTTGAAAAGAGGGGAGAAGTGGGGGAAGGAGGGGAGGGCTCAAAAACGCCTATGCCTAGGGCCCACGAAAGGTATAATCCGGCTCTGCACTCAGTACATGGTTTTAAAAATCGGTATATTTATTTTATGTAGAAATGACCAAAAAATGAAGAAGAAAAATCAGTAGAATCGAGAATCTTAATATCCTCTCTTTTAGTCCCCTCTGTCCGCAAAAAATATTATATGTGTATAGCAAGGCAAACATTTCGTTCACTCTATCCGAGATTTGAGGTCATTCCGAGTTCACATCTCTATAAGAAATTATTTATCATATATGGAATTGATTTATTTTGTTTTTAATAATGCTGTCTTTTATTAAAGAATTGCGACTTTTGCTAATTTAACAAATAACGCAGAAGAAGAGGAGGAAGGACAGGCATTTTATGCTGGTGGCTCTGAGAGAAGGTATACATTGTTTCTTAATTTAACAGTCTGATAATTAGATAGCAGCTGTATTAAAACACTCATTTATGTAAAATATTGCTTATTTCTTTTCAATGGTTGCATTTTACTTTTTACATATTTAAAAATTATATTACAGAAAGAGAATATTTTTAAAAGAGTTTCTTTCATTTAAGTTTAAAAAAACCTTATTACTTCTGGCATAGTTTCTTTAAGGATTTTTTTTTTATTTGTGGACTTCTCTGAAGCTGAGGATAACATGGTGCGTAGCGTTTTTAAAAAGTGCTTATTTTTGATTTTCGTTTTTTAAAAGCACTTTATGGGGCTTTTTTAATTGGGTGTTTTTAAAAAGTGCTTAGTTTTCCCTTTTCGAAAGTGAGATTTTTTCTTTACCATGCTGATTTTGCCACGTATTATACAAAAGCGTGTTTTTTCGCATTGTTCTATTCAACGTTTTCACAATTCATTTAACAACAATCTATTTTGGCATGAAAGCGCCAATCGTTTTACATGTTTGATGAAATACTTGCAAGTCCGCAGGTGCGTCTACTGAGCTGAGTTTGGTGAGATTAATGCACTCTCGTGTGCAACTCGGCTGCATTTTGCAAGGTATTCTCAATTTCAGGCTTCATTTTCCACCCTCTGATATCGAACCGAAAAACCTCTCCATCGTTTTATAACAGCTAATATAATCAATAAGAGTTGTCAGAAACTACTTATTTTTATCATGATCATGTAAAGTCTTTGAAAATTATTTTACAATTTGTTGATCTATATAATGCTCAAAAATATTTTTTGAGTGCTTAAAAAGTACTTAAAAGATGCTTATTTTTTGTTGAAAGGCTACACACCCTGGTATTATTTTCAGATTTTTTAATGTGAGAATTCCAATACTGTTTATGCAGCAATTTCTTATCAATGCAACAATTCCTAGTTTTAACTGTTTCTATTAGATCATATTTTTTTTTTGTGTGAGCGAAAATAACAAAATAGTATGATTATTGCATTATATCTAAGGCATTTTTTTTAGACATGTTTCTTTCTTAAAATATATATAATTAAAAATAATTGTGTCCCATGTTTTTTTTTATGATGGAAAAAAGAATTAGGAACTCAACTGAAATGGAATGGTGCTATTTTCTAGCTGTTATTAATAATTTCTCCAAAATTAGCAATGTAAAATTTTTATGTGTTAAAATGTTAGATTAGTCAAGGTACTAATTTAAATACCCGTAAAGGGGACAGAATTGTTATAAGAAGGAAACTTGTTTTAAAAAAAATCTAAAATGGCCCTGTATTGAAAGTGACCACTCTATTACATTAAAAGAGAAATAATAATAATGGGGATAGTAAGAATGTGGTACTCTTAATAAAAAATTAAAATCATATTTGTAATTTGGAAATGAAAACACATGCACCAAACCAAAGAATCGGGATATACTGGTGTCTAATAAAAGTCTGTCAGTCATTGATAGGAGAAATAAAATTGTCAATTTTAAAGTACATTTAAAAACAGTAAATTAAGGTAAAAAAAATTTAATTTAACAGAAAGTATTAAAGTTAAGGGGAACATTATCTTTTTTGAAATTTTGTGGTACAAAACAAAGTGTAACACAGTAACCCAATAGTTAAAATTGAAGAAATTGTTACCACTAAATTTTAAATAAGGTGGTACATAATGATCAACCAAATTTTATGACTGAGAATATTTAAATAACACAATAAATTACGAGTATTTGATGTTTCCGATTAAAAAATTACAAAAGGTACTCACCACATACATGATATATAGACGGGAAAAAACAATACATGAGTGAAAATAAAGAAATCATTAAATGTGGTACTTTTATCAAATTTTATATTTGTGTAAAAATCACACAACACTAAATGTAAGAATTTTTCAGTCCTCCATCTTTAAACTTGCTGAAAATGAATGCTATACAATGTTTCACTCCTTTACGCTTATCACTGTACTGCAATTTATCTTATTCTTTGTTCCCAAGCTTGCTCTACAACTAGTTAACTTGCTCACCTGCTAAATCTCTTTAAACCATATTCTTTACAAATCACCCCAATCATGACAATCAAGATCATGACAATAAAGAAGGGGATCAATTTAACTACAGCTTTTCTCTTCATATTCTTACATTATCTATTTGAGACAAGATTTTTATTTCAAAAGCATCAAATTCTCTAAAGAGAAAAGCTTTCTCGATAGAGTACAACGTTAAAATTGTAAAACTTATTGAAGATGGAACCAATCAATCGGCTCTGTGTAAGGAATTTCCTTTGTCAAAATCTACAGTTTCAAACATTTGAAAAAAACTAAGTGCAATTCTTGCCACATACGCAGGGTGCGTACAGACTCCTTATACTCTTTAGAAACTCCTTGGAAATAAAAAAGTCTCCAAGGAGTACTTGGAACTACTTAGATTTCTAAATTAGTTCTTAGAAACTCCTTAGATTATTGTATTGCATAAATGAACTTACTAAGTACGCTGATGAATTTGCTGTCCAAACAGGGAAACTAAATTATATGACTTAGCTGTCAAAATCTAATAGTTTAGGAAAAACTTTAAAAGAAAAAAAATTGAATTGGAAGAGTTAGAAGAAAAAAATGACAGCAAATAATTTTAATTTTACATGTTACAAGCAAACTTAATTAATAATTTACTGTGATATTATTATTTTTTTTTTTGTATAAAGTGCCTTAGATTTTTGTATGTATTCAAATTTAAAAATATAAGATTGGTAGATTTTTATGTTAATCTTTAACATGTGTACTTCAACAAGATTTATTAAAGTATTTGAAACTGGAAAATGTATTTATATGTAAAAGTGATAACTTTATTTATTTTTCTTGATGAAGTTTGACAAAGTCAAAATTTATTTCAAAAGGGCTAGAAAAAAATATGCAAACTATAAATTTTTGCGAGTTCCTTATAATAACTGCTTTTTAATTAAAAAAAAACTGTCTAATTATCTTTTACGCAAAGTTTTTAAATTTTTGATAAATCCTTAAAATTTCGGACTCTTTGGCTTCCTTCTTCTGATCTCTGTATGAACCCTGCGCATACGACAAAAATATTTTTTTGTCAAAAAAACCGTGTCAGGCTAGAGAAAACGTGGAAGAAGCTTTGTTAAAATGGTTCGCTACTCAGCGGGATAGAAATCTTCCTATGACCCGACCTATGCTTCAAATTAAAGCGAATGAGTTGGATATCGGGAACCATCATTTATAGTGGACACATTACTGAGTCCACAGATGGTTCACTACTATAGCGGGATTGGACTGTATGTGTATATATATGTTTCATTTTTGTTTAAATTCCAAAAATACATTAAAGGTGGTCTTTACAGCGCACTATGTTTGCATACAATATACTTACGCAACTTTACTTTTATATTTAAATAAAGTTAACTGTTTCATCTTTGAATTTAAGACATTAGATTATCTTATATACATTTAAGGGGAAAACTATTGGCATTGCATAAGTTGCATGATTTCGACAATCTCATATTTCAGCAAAGTAGACCCAGTGCAAAAATTAAAACTTTTTTTTTTAATGGGCCTGGTTAAAATAACCCTCATTTTTTTTTCCCAAAATTTACTGTATTAGATCAATAGATTCTACTTCAAAAGTAAATTAATTGTGAATGACTATCATTCAGACAAAAACCTCTGTTGAAGATTGAAAAGAAAAAAAAGTATTTGATGATAAATTAACTTGATTACATAAACTGAAATGCATTCAACTTGATTTGATAGTAAAGTATCTGTTTTTATGAAGTACACATTGTTGATTAGGTTTCCTAAAACCTTATGAATATATTTTTAATTTATATGAAATTATGTTTTAAATAATCAAAGTTTCATTACAATGTCAATCTTATCTTATATACAATGATATGTAATATAAATTTTGATAGGCAAAAAATTATGATATGCAATATAAATTTTCAGTTTTTGAATATATAGACAGTTCATAGTGATTTAAACTAATTTTTAACAATTTACTTCATTTATGAAAAACTAATCTGTTTTTAAACTAAAATTATTTTTGCAACTTGAAAAAGTTATGGAATTTCTTTAAGCAAACTATAAGATATAATTTATAAATTAAGTTTATATGTTATTATAAAGCATAAAATATGTTGCTTTTTTTATATTTTAATCATGCTTCTGAGACTAATTAGTATTCAATTTTTATGATTGCCTTAAAATTGAATTTTTTTTTCCTGACTTGTAAAATTAAATGCAGAAATTGAGATTCAAATTTTTTTTTTCACATTGAAAAAAATATAGAGAAGGAAGTTTTAATTGAAAAAAAAAATTGAGAAGTTTATTTATATATAAATTAGCTCCTCACTCAATGAACACTAAATTATTATTTCTGAAGTTAAAAAAACATTTAAATATGTTGTTTTTTAATGTTTTTTTTTACTTGGTCAGGGAGGAATAAACAACCCTGAATGAAAGTTATTGTTGATCTTTTGAGAGCATTGTTAACTATTTAATATAATATCTCGATTTAAAAAAAAATAAAGTTGAATGTTTTAATTTTAGTGGTCAACAAGTTTTGGGCCCAGGAAAACGCAAATCTGGAAATCAAATTGTAGAAGAATTATTTGATGCTGTTAAGAAGTAAGTCGGTACTAATTTTGTCATCCATTAGTGTGATAATTTAATTAGATTTATTTTCACCTGAGAAACCTAATTGTGGTCTGAGGATCACTCATTTGCTAATGAACAATAGCTTCGGTATTGTTACTTACTCCGCACCTGGAAAGTCATGAATTTCGATACTGAACAAAATTTATCATGATTTTTAACTATTTTCTTAAAAAATCATGGATTTAGGTCACCGAAAAATCTATTTTTTAGTGTGGAATTCCCCCCCCCCCATCCAATTTCATGGTGTTCCAAATATCTGAATGTGTAACAAAATCCCCACTCACAGTCATATTTGATTAAAATATAAAATGAAATGTTTTTATCATGTTCTCTAAAAGCTATCATATTCTTTCAAAAAATGAAATAGAAAACATCATTTCGAGAGCGAAATATCTTTTAAACTTCTGTGATTTCAGAATATTTGTTATTTTTTTATTCTATCAATTTAAAATTCTAACTGAAGCAATTGATAAAAAAATTTTTTATTCCGAAATGAGAACGGAAAAATCAAGAGTATTTCCTTTCTTTGGGATGAACAAGAGAAACATCTTACGAGTATAATTCTGCAGAAAAAAAATATTTGCTTTTGTATTTTTTCAGCTATTTTATTGCTTCAACTCTTTCTTTACTCTGTTTTTAAAATTTATAAATATGAAGATGCACAGTAAAACAGTTTTGGTTATACCTATTATTTCAATTAATATTATTATAATGCTTTTTAAATTTATTGCTGTGTTATTGTCAGAGAAAATAGTGACTTCGTTAAGTTATGAAAAGTTCTTGGAATTAGTCATGAATTCGAAAATGTAGCAGATATCCTGGATTTAACACGCGTGAGCCCTTGCCTACCATAATGCTTTTACCACGCTGACAAAAGGCGATTTCTTCTAACTATAACGATTATGTTGTTCATCTAGTTATGAAGACAAACTGTTATTTATTTTCATTACCTATACAAGCTGCAATACAATGGTTGATGAGGCAAAATTATTTCCATCCAATTTTTTTGTAGGAAACTCAGCAAATCCACATTTTTTCCACAGGGTCTTTGATAATAGTTATTTATCGCAATGCCTAGTCTTATCAGTGCCACAATGCATCTTTTAATGGCCATGATGCTATCCAGCCTCAATGTGACTCACGTGACAGAACTCATGAATGTAGGCTTAAATTAATTGTAGAATTTAGAAGTTTTTTTAATCAAACATGCCAGTTTTTTTAATCGAAAAACTATTCCAAAAAGTACTGTTTAACTTAGAGAAAAGTGCATAAAGTAAAACTACTCAGCATTCCTTGTTCATTCAAAGTTGCCATCGTTTTTTCAGTTCTCAGGGATGAGATTTTTCCGCTTTTTAGCTGATTTCCGCTTTTTTCACTTTCATCTCTTGGATTTCAGCTTTTTTATCAAAAATTCAGATTTTTCTAAAAATTTCCCTTTTTTTTATAAGTATTCCGCTTTTTCAGAAAACTCACCCATTTTCAAAGAGAAACACAAAATTCAAACTACATAGCTACCANGCAATTGTATGTCAACACATTATTTATTACCTTAAACTGTCTGGAATTTATTATTAAAGGGCTGCGCTTGCGTAAAATTTACTATCATGGAAATTCAGCTTTTTTGCCTTTTGGCTAATCTCATCCCTGAGTTCTGACATAGCTCTCAAGATAGGCTTGAAAACTCCCCTGATATCAATTTAAGAATTGGGGCTCTAAAATGGCAATTTTTTTCCAGATTTGAGTGGCAACCCTGGTTTAACCAAATAACATTCCATCTTATTTTTTTCACTTTCGTTTTAATTTAATCTGGTGGTAATCAAGTATGTCATTGATGTTAATGAAAGTTTTGAAAAAAAAAATTACTTTTTGGACTAACCCTGTGTGAATGATGTGTTTTTTAAGGAATTGTGGAGAGCTTCTTCATCAACCAGACAAAGACAATAGAATGTTTCATGGAACAGGATATGTTCTTGGATCAGAAGGAAGTGCTTCTTCTGCATCTTCAAACAATGCTCCCACAGAAATCAGATTAACTTTATGGAAAACTGGCTTTACTGTTGACAGTGGATCTCTTAGAGACTATCATGAGCCTCACAACAAAGAATTTTTAGATTCCATTCGCCAGGGGTGAGCACTCTCTTTCTTTTTACACACACTCTTTGATTCTCTGCCTCAACTACAAATAATGTGTACAACTTAGTACCTGTTAATGACAACGACCTTCATCTATCGAAAAGTACCTTGAGATTGAATCAAGTCAGCGGGTCTTATATACTAGTGAATTGATGTTTAATAATCGTAGTTCCAACTCCCCCCGCCAGAATTTTATTAGGGATAGAATTTGGTGAACGGATACTTGTGGGCCATATTTGTGAAAGACCGGGAGAGCTAAGTTCACCAGATTTTTTTTCTCTGAGTGTTAGGCGTGAGAGTTATTAGCAGTTGGTTGTTATTAGCAGTCGAGTGTGCGCAGAATCCGTTGTGTGTAAATGAGACTGAGAAGCGAGAGGACAATGACGCAGTCACGATCGGTGAGTCGACAGTTCGATCCGTGGAAATGGGTGTTGCATTGGACGTGGGTGAGTTCGTATCACGTCCGGGTCACCGTTGTGGCGGTTGGATAATGTTGATTGACCATAGAATTTATTTTATGACCACTAAAAGTTATTTTATTTTGTTAACATCGGAACGTAGGAAGAAGGTGAATGTAAATCGGCACAATGTTTCATATCACAGAGACAGTTTTTAATGTTTAGGCAAATGATAATTTCAAACTGGCGTCCGTAACTGTCGCAGTTACGATTTTGTTACAATTGCCACAAACTATAGCTAACTGTGAAAAAAGTTTTGCATTTTGAATATAATTTAAAAAATTGCTTTGTTAAAGACCCCTTTTTTATTCCACCAATAAAGATATCGATTGTGATATTAATTTTGAGCAAGCGTTTTTTTTTTTCTCGGGCAGAGGGGGAGAAGTGTTTGGGCTTACAAAACTTTGACAGCTGTAAAAAATCGACCCTAAACTTGTGCTCTTATAAATACCTGAATTTATAAACTCTGTGTTTATAATTACAAATAAATGCTATGAGAAATGTTCAAATGAACAGAGCCATAATGCACAAGATAAAATTAACTTTCAGTATAGGCCTTTCTTCACACTAACCTTTACTATTTCCCACATTTTATGTAAGCGAGACCCTTCATTTGCATTTTTTAATCAACAGATGCTCCTACGAAACATAGGTGGGAAAGTAGCTTGCTTCCCATATACATTTAAAAATTATTGAAGTTGGTGGAAGGGATAATATATATCTATATAATAAATGAGTAAGTTCAATAATTTCAAGTTTAAATGTCTGTCAATCTACAGTTAATGTCTGAGACAGCACAATTTATTTTGTTATTATTTGCATATTTTTCAATTTTATAATTTTAGCCTGTTTCTCAATGGTTAATAATGATAAATTTGTATTCTATTTTCAATAATTTTGAAATAGGCATTTGCATTTATTACTGCATAACAATTTTTAAGGCTGTAATACAGTTTCAAATGCATTGTTATGTTTTATATTTCAATTATAATTATGTTTATGAAATGTTACTGATTAGAATCAATAAAATTTGATTTAAATTTTTAAAAAAAATCTTTATTTAATCAAATTAATAGGATTTATTTTTATTTATTCATTTAAAAAAAAAGCATTCCTGCTTTTTTTGTTGAATTATGCTTTCTGGTTTAAAGAAAACTAAATATTTACAGTAATTTCCCAATTCTTATATTAACAAATTAACAGATTCAACTAATGACTCTTTTAAGACTGTTTTTAAATAAATTTAGAATTTTTTTTCCTATCATATATCGCTAAATAAACATGATATTTAACTGATTTTTTTTTTAAAGCAACAACTATGGATATTTTGTTAGTGAGGTTACTTAAAAATATCAGTATGAAATGTCGCAATATATATTTGTAATGTGTACAATATAGTCAACTCACAATGGAGTTTTAATACTGAAGGGCTGAGAATAGCAACTCTCTGTGGGGAGTGAGTTGCCGACCATGTCAATCTTCATCTATGAAAAGTTGTCCCAACATAGAATCGAGTTAACGTGTCTCATATTCGAGTGGATTGGAATTGTATTTTTGTAGTGGTAGTCCCACTACAGTACTCCTCCACCAAAATTATATGAATGATAGTATTTGATGAACAGATACCACTAGTTGGTTCATTGCTGTTTTGTCAGAAGTTGGAAGAGCTGTATTAAGATCACCGTACTTTTGCTGATTGTGTGAGCTGTGTTAAGTTCACGGTCGTGATCACTCCTCTGTTGCCATTAGCAGTCGAGTGCATGCAGGCCGATGTCGCGTTTGATCGAGACTGAGTAGCAACAGTGCGAGGAGGTGGATAATGTCTCAGTCACAAGTAGCAAGGCAACTGTTCAATGTGAACCATCCATCGAAGTAGGTGTGTTCAACTCAAAGTGGGTGTTACTATCAAGGTAGGCGTGTTCACGTCCCGTCCGAAGGTCACCAATGTGGGGGTTGAGTTAACGACCATGTGTTAAGTGACAAGTGTGAGTTAACGACCATGTGTTAAGTGACGAGTGTGATTAACGACCATGTGTGAGTTAACGACCATCTGTTAAAAGGTACCCCAACATAGAATCGAGTTAGCATGTCTTATATACTAGTGGATTGGAATTGTGTTTTTGTAGTCATAGGCACACTACAATTGACAATTATCACACACTTCCTTGACAATTTATTTCAAAGATTAGCATTCAAGATAGACACATTACAAAGGTCCTATTTATTATATGGAATAAATTTAGATTTCCATAATGTGGCCAACATGATACTGTTGAGTGAGACTTGATAATAGAGGATTTTAGTCAGAATCTTGAGTGTTTTTCGATTATAGTACTGATATAGTGATTATTTTTATTGAAGGGAAGTCCCCCTGGAGCTTCGAAGACAGGCAAATGGAAGAGAAACGCAGGTAAGCCTTGATGATCATAGCCATGAAGATTATATTCCTCCTAAGAAAGTCCTTCAAGCTTTTAGTGGTGCAGGATTCAGATTAGGAAGGTATGTATCTCGGCTGAATAATTCACTTTTATTTTTGCAAAAACTCAAATTTCGTAACCCTGTCATTTTGAACCCAATTTAGAAAATAAGAGAACTGCTGTGCACAAGAACTGGTGCAAACTAGCCTTTGATGTGACTAACATGCATTTCTATACATGGCGAGAAAAACCTCACACTATTAGCCCAAAGAGATTTTTACCCACAGCTCATTTACCATTGATAATGTTTTTATGTAAGTGGTTGGTTTAAGCCATCGCTGATATTCGAACCTAGGTCACCTCCTTGAGAGGATCAAACCGCTGAACCACTCTGCAAAGTTTATTGATATTAATTTGGAAAACTTTCTTATTCCAATTGTATTTGTAATTTTTTTTTCAATTAATTTTTGCTTGACTATTGACCATTCAATTGCTGCTTTTAACCCTTGGGTTATACTTTATTTACTAGAAGGTCTTTAAAACAGGGTTTATATACACTAGGAATATTTGGAAAACTATGAATCGTGAGGGAAAACGAGATATGAAAATATGTCTGGGGAAAATGTAATTTTACACGAAAACTCGGAATTCAACACCCTCGTTGGATTTTACCCTTCTATTTTCTGCCGTAATTTTCACTTGTGCAATTAAGGATTAACGAAATAATTTTTAAAAAACTTCCGGACCAACCGTCATTAAGTGCATCCTCGAGATTCAGTTATTCTTAAGAATTTCTGGAACATCTGGTCAATCAAATGTCCAAGTTAAGGAAACTTTTGCCTTGAGAGTATTGACACATTAGATCTCTTTTTAATTCACTTTTGTTTCTCAAGTTTCGTTATCCTTCATTTATTATGACACACTGTTTCATAATTTTGGAGAATACATGAAGTATTACAAACAAAACGGGTTTTTTTTTAACGTTTGCAATGTTCATTTATTTTATGTCTATTAAGGAAACACTATTTTTTAATTGAGTGAATTCCTCGAAAGTACATGCGAAATTGCTTTCTTTAAAAATCATCTGCTCTTATAATATTTTTTGTTATGATTGCAGCTTTCTTTTTTTATTTATCTTTGATTCCACTACAATTTGAATTTTTCTTTTAATCACAATAAATTAGTTTTTCCTATTCATGAATTTTAAAAGTGTTTTTTTTTTAAAAATTCAGTTAGTCTCATTATATCCTACCTACTTCCTTTTAAGTTACTACACTACCTTTTAAGTTATGGCTTCTTTTTAGTTTCGTTTCCATTTCACAATTTTTAAGTGTTTTTTTTTTTAATTTTATTTTATTTAATTTCATTAATTCATTTTCCTTGTATTTTATCTTTTTCTTTTTTTCCTTATAATTAAGTATAAAATATATTACATTTTTTAATCATCAATTTGTTTTATTACTTTTTTTGTTATTAGTTAATTTGGTGATTTTAATAAATCTTTAATTTTTTTATAATTTCGTTTTATTTACTTTATTGTGATATCTGTTAGTTTCTTTTTGTCTTGGTTTGGTATTTATCATTAAAATAAATTTCTTCGAATATACTTTTTTTATTAATTCTGCGGTTTCACCATCGTGATTTATATTTTCCCCTCTATTTATCCATTTTTTTTTCAATAGAAAATCTTAATACATTGCCTTCGTATAGGTTCCCCCCCCTTCTATTCTTAAATATGCTTGTGAATTGATTTTAATATGATTTAATTTCAATTAAATGCAGATTATTTGTGTAATATTTTTTTTTTTTAAGTATGACTTAGTTGAAAAGTTTTCTTTTTATTTTATTGATGAATAAGTTCTTCCCTTATTTTTCATTTCCTTGCAGTTTTGTGATGTTATCATAGCTGCCAACTCTACTGGATTTTTCAGTACACTACTGGATTTTGTCAGTTTTTCCTGGTCTACTGGTTTAATAAAAATTCTCTTGGTTTTTGTACATTTTAGAAAATTCCCTAAAATTGAATAAGTTTCTTAAAAAAATCTCTATTGAAATAGATTATTTCTTGTTTAAATATGTATTACTAATACATGATGAAGTAAGCCTCATTTAGCGATATCAATTTAAAACTTTTTTTTTGTTCTAAAATGTTCATTTTTTTTTATTCGGAACTCCATTAAAAAAAAATCTTTAAACTATCTTTGGTGAATTAAATGCCTTTTACTATTCAAAATTATGAGTAAATATAACACATAAAATTTTCAGTATATTTAATGTCAATCCTAACTGGAAAATATTGCAGTTTTCTATTTTTGTTACTATTAAAATCCCTAAAATTTCCTATATGTAAAATATTTAGTACGTTATGCCACAATTATTATGAAATTTATAATATTTAGTAACATCTACTGGATTTTTTCCTATCCATATTGGCAGCTATGTGTTATATACATATATAACTCATAAATGGTAACATAAAGTATGTAATTGAATTATAGTATTTTTCATTGATAAGACAATTGAGGTTTTAATACTTTTGTTCTATTGTAAAATGTGTGATACAAGAAAGTAACATTGTTCAAGTTATAGAAATCTTATAAAAATACTTTTTGATTAAACACCTAATCAAAGAAAGTCAAGCATTAAGAAAAGCAAAGGAAATCTCATGAAACTGCCGAGTTTAAAGAAGATATGTATCAGTATAGTTTTTTTAATGTTAAGACATTTTTAAAAGAGATTTTCGAACAAATTTTGTCAAAATTAGGTGGAGACGAAAGGGTCTCTGCATAAATTGTTTGCAGAAGTTTTTTTTTAATAACGATGGAAGAAAGTTAATTCATTTTATCTATGTGAGTTAGGTTGCATAATTCCTTCATGGTATTGCATTTAAAAAGTGTCAACCATAAAGTAAATCTTTCAGTTAGTGGAGTTTTGAAATCTTTTCCCATTGCTGTATTTTTCAACAGCTGCATTTTAATATTAATTTGAGGTTCTTAATTTTGGTTTCAAGGGTATATACTATATAAAGATTCTCATATTTATTTTTTAAAATAATTACAATTCCTAAATTAAATAATATAAACAAAACCAATGATTAAATAACGCAATATATTTCATACCTAATTATACGGGGGAAACGATAAAATAAAAGGAAAACTTATTAATCTAAATAAAAACACTTGAAAATTATCGAACCGAAACGATAATTAAAAAAGGCACTAGCATAAATATTAAAACCCGAAACAAGGCAAGATCAATGAAATTCAAAAAAAAAAAACCTAATGATAAAATTTATGAGTAAAAAGAATTAATTTATTGAGTGCGAAATTTATCGCGAAAAGAAAAAAAATAAAACGTAGTGGAATCAGAAAAACAAAACTGCAATCTGCTTCATAAAATAATCCTATGTTTAAAATAATAAACAATTCTCCTTTTATTTTATTTTTTTGTTGATAAAAACAAGATTTTTAATTACAGCAGATGTGATTCCACACCAAGAAAAACTTGTTATTGGTACCGCACTTCCAAAGAATAAGAATTTATTCAAAAGAAAAAGATTTTAGTTTTATTAGTCGATGTCAAATAAATATATTTTTCTCTTTTCTTTTTCTGTTCACTGATATGCATGCAATGCATTTTCCCCACCCCCCTCGTAAATCAAGCAGAAAACGAAATCAGCATGCCACACCCTTGAGTTTGATTGACGGCCTAAAGGAAAAAATAAAACATTCCTCCCTTCCCTGCCTTCAAGGTCACGGAGGAAATGACGTTTCTCTGGGTAAACGGGGAAAAAAATCTTCCCCTTCCTTACATTTTCCTCTACTCAACTTCAAGGATGAGTCCAATTTCTGCTTTTTTCGTTCTAGTTTAAAATCGTTCTAGTTTAGAATGGCGGGAAATTCGAGCAAAATTTTTCCCGGTTTTCTGGTTTCCCGGTTATCTGGATACCGGATAAATGGTTCTCTACTGTATATACATATATATATATAAACTTTTTAAGTTTCATTTAATCTTTTTACGTCATTCCTTTTCTGTAAATCCTTTTCTTAATTTATTATTCAAAACGAAACGCTTAAATTCACATCCTGTCCTTTTATCTATTTTTGGCTCAAGTATGCTTTTATTAAAAGTAAGACAGTTTTCCCTTTGCTCTTTGTAGGAATTGCGCGACCTATTTGATAAGCCAATTACAATTACTAAGATTTCCCTAAAATGAAACATTTTACGGATTTACTTTGCAAGATTTTTCCTAACTTTTTTTGAGGAGCTCAACGATTTCGTGTCCACTTTGATAGCCGTTCTCTGTCTAATAATTAATAAGTAAATTTTGTACCATCCTTCCCTGCCCAAGACCTGTTTTTATCCTTCCACTCTGCAATGACGTTATATATATATATGTGTGCATAAATTTTTATTTGTATAATTTTTTTGCATCTTCTATTCTAAATAATGTCACTAGTTTATCATCCTTGTCATATGTATAATAAATATCTTATTTTTTCAGTATTTCACCTCAAGTGACTGCAGCAGCAGCATCGACGGATGATCGCAAAAAGAATGAGGCTGAGGCTCAATCATGCATTAAAGTAGATGACTCTATGCCTGTCACAAGCATTCAAATTCGCTTGGCTGATGGATCAAGGTATTATTTGTGAATTATCTGTTAAAATCATTACCTCCCTATAGATGCTGTATTTTACATCTTTTCTAATATTCCCCTTACTTTTTTTAAATTTGATTTACTGTTGCCATGTAACTACAGAAGATATGAGCTCTGAGAGTCAAACATGGAGCATTTTTTATTTCCGTTTCATTTTCCAGCAATAGGAAAGACCTATTTCTCATTATTTGTTGACATCGTTTTTTTAAAAAGTGTGTAGTGTTTTAAAAAAGTGATTAGAGGTGCTTATTTTCGATCTATTGTTTTTTTTTCTGTAAAAGCCCTTAAATATGCTTTTTTGCATTGGGTATTTTTAAAAAATGCTTGATTTTTAGTTTTTTGAAATGGGATGATTTTTCTTTACCATTTCAATTTTCGTCACGAGTTATGCAAAAAGTGTGGTTTTTACAGCGTTCTAATTGACGTTTTCACAATTCATTTAACCACAATCCATTTCCGCATACCGTCTGTCTGTAGCTCATGAAAGTGCCAATCATTTTACATAAGATAATTTTGACTCCTCGTGAGCTATATAATAATGTTAATAATAATCAGTTTGAAACTTCTTAAGTTTGAAAATATTTTTTTTAAAAAAATAATATCTTATAACTATGTAAGATAAGTTCCAATATAAATTGCAACTTAATACGTTTAATTCAAAAATATTTTGAGATGCAAGACACAAAGCAATATTTAGCATTGAATCTATATTAGAAATATGATTGCTACTAATATCAACTGTATTTTTTGAAAAATATTAAAGTGCAAACATTTTTAAGGACTTAATCTTTTAATCCAAAGCAAATTACTGAAATGAAAGCAGTCAAATCTGTTTTTTTTTTTTAATTGAAACAAAAACTGTTATTGTAATTTAAATTTCTGATGTAATAGTTTTTCGGCAAATCTGCTGCATATCCTTTCTTTTTCGATTGGCATTTCTGCCTTTTTATGGTTGCCAGATGAAGTTGAGTTGATACAAAACCAAATTTTCTGCTTCATTATTCTTTATTTTTCATTATTCTCAAATGAGAATAGAAAAATCACAAGCATTTTTTTCCACTTGGATGCCCAAGGAAGGCATCTTTTGAATATAATTCTGAAGAAAAAATAAAAAATCTTACAAAAATTTCTACAGAAAAAAAAAAACAAATTTTTTTACTTCACAAAAGAAAAATCGTACTGCAAGAACTCTGTACCGTTCTGCGACAATGTCGCCGTTTCACGGTGATTCTGACACGGAGATATACACTGAGAAAAATAGCTTTTATTCTAATGATGAGATTTTTATAAATTAAATGCAAACCTCAATAATAAATAATATGGATGTTATGCTAATTAGAGCTACTACTGAATCCTACTTTTGCTGATAAAACACATTTTCGGCCACTCTAGGAGAAATATTGTTTTGTTTGGAAGGCAATTAAAATTTTATTTTTCATGTATTTCTCCATATTGCAGCAATTTTTAAGAGAATTTTTGTACACCATGTAAGATGTTTTTTATAGTTCTTATTTATTTTATTTATGAAAAGTAATGAAAAGTAAAAATTTTTGAACTATTTTAAACTTAACAACTTTAGGTGACAAAATACGATATTGGAATTTTAGATTTGTCCTTTAAATGTGTATTATTATAAGTGATGTAAAAATTTGTGTACTTAACAATTCTAAATTTTTTAGATCATTATTGAATAAAAGAATAATTATTAAAAACTTTGCACAAAATTTTCTTTGGATGAGCAAATCTTATTGTGTGCAAGACTTATTCAGTTCTTTTAAAAAATTTCCTGAGATATGGTAAAATTTAGCATTAAGGAATGCAAAATTTTGACTGGTCTCTTGACTTAAATATTAGCACCCTATTTTCCTCGCATACTTTGATAGTCAAAAATTGATTAATAATTAATTTTAAAATTCAAAAATAGTGAAAGAGTGTTCAGAAAAACTCTGTTTTTGTGTCTGATTCTGTAACTAGTTTATACAGTTACAATTTTATATATGTCTATTACTAGTTTATACAATTGCTCTAAATTAATTACGTTCGTTGTTTTGTGATGTAATATTATAAAAATTTATATTCTTCAACTAGTTATTTTTAAAATAATTGTGTTTCAGTCAAATACTGCTATAGAGAACCTTCAAGGATCCGATATTTTGGTTCACTTCAATCCATCTGTTCCGCTAACAATTTTAACTTATGGTTTCAAACTCCCCCCTTTAATTATACATTATTTGAATAAATGACCCATAAAATGAAATACAAAAATGACTGAAAAATAATACGTAGTAACAAAGAATGTGTTAACTTTTATTTTTTATTACTCTTCTTCTTGCGTACGGGAAAAAAAATTAATAATCTTTAGCCCATCAGCAATCCTCAACATCAGCTACTGAAACACTTCCCGACTCTCCGATAATTTTTCCAAAATTTATGTTATTCCGCTTTTTAAACCTGTCTAACCAGCCATTCGAGCACATAAAAGTAGTCTGATTTGAAGCATTTGTCCGCATACTGGAAGATGGCAGCTTCTTTGAATGCTAAACCCATTCAATAGTGAAGCAATTAAGAAAAATGTAAGTTACTACATTCCATGCTATAGATGGTTTTAAAAATCGGTATTTATTTTGAAGTGGAAAATTCAAAATTATGACCCAAAAAAATGAAGAAAGTAAATTAGACAGAAAAAAGTGTTTGTACTTCCTCTCTTTTCTTGGTTCACACAAAAAATAATGTGGCACGGGAGCTAACATTTTGTTCGACTGTAGTTTTTTGAGACACCCTTTTGAACCTTTGAGATAGTCCATTAAAATCCTGGAACAAAATGTGTCTTGCATAAATGTGTTTTTCTAATATGATTATTTTTAAATACTAGGTTAGTTATGAATGCAAATCACAACCACACTGTTGGTGATATAAGAAGATTTATAGTTATGTATCCTTTTTTTTAAATCATCATTGACATGTATTTTATGAATGGAAATATTTCAGCGAGGTAAATAATATTTACTTACTCAGAGATCCTTTCAAATAGTATTTAGTGTTAATTATCTACATACATGACTCAAAAATAAGTCGTTCAAAAACTAAACAAAATCAGAGGTCTGTAAACAAATATATTAATTTATGTTGAGTGCACTCTGTAGAATAAATGTGGTGTTAAAATAACTGAGGTAGTTCTTTAACAGTTAGTGATTCTCAAACTTATTATGAAATTTGCAATTTTTTATTCCATTTCATAATTTATAAATCTGTGTCATTTCAGATATCTGTGTGTTCATGTGCAGCAAAAATAAATATAAAGTATAATTCAACATCTCACATAATCACATTCAATATAATTCAATGATAGCTATAAAATTTTTTATGTAATTACGAAATTAAAAATGGATGGGATACAATTCTTTTGTTCGTTAAATGTGTGATAAGTTATACATTTGTGTAGAGTTTTTAAAAAGTGCTTAAAGGTACTTTTTTATTTTTCGTTTCTTAAAATCCCTTAAAGGTTTCATGGGGCGTTTTTAAAAAGTGCTTAATTTTCCCTTTTCGAAAAGGAGATTTTTTTTCTTTACCATGTCGATTTTTGTCACATATTATGCAAAAAGCGTGATTTTCACATTGTTCTATTCTATGTTTTCGCAATTCATTCAACCACTATCCGTTTCAGCTTACCGTCGATCCGTAGCGTATGAAAGTGCCAATCATTTTACGCGTTTGGTATAATACTTGCGAGTGTATCTACTGAGTTGGGTTCGGTGAGATTCTTGCACTCTCGTGTGCAACTCTGCTGCATTTTGTTATGTAAAAAATATACACTTCTGATATACAATATTTACTCCATTTCAGGCTTCATTTTCCACCCTCTGAAATTGAACCAAAAAAATATCCTGATCTTTTTATGGTGGCTAATATAATGAAGAAAAGAGTTCTTTGTCAAAAACTAGTTATTTTATAAGTGCTTAAAAGGTGCTTATTTTTTGTTGATTAGGGTATTCACCCTATTATATTGAAACTATTAAATAGCATATTTTTGCTTGAATAATAAAGCCAATAATATTAGAAATCTTTACTGAAATAAGTGGATTTGCTTTAGCCTCGCATAAAAAGTTAGATTAAACGATAACATGAAAAAGTAGCACTCATCATTTATGACTGTCGTTCAACAACCGACCCAATTTAGGATTTACAACTACTAATATTCAAATCCTATTAATTTTGAACCCAATCCAAAGGACAAGGGAACTCCTAGATCAAGTATGGGGAGAAATTTGCCTTTGTGGAGGACTTTGTGATAGAACTAACCCGCATTTGCATTACACGGAGAGGGAAACCGCTAAGACCTCCCACTGATAACCTGACGGCAAGGCAACTCTAACCCATGATCCGTCTACCACTGAGGATTTTTATTGACAGTTATTAAGAGCAAGAATTTCTAAATTGTTATATGGGGAGGAAAACCACGAGAAGCTCCCACTGTTAGCTGGACAGCAAGGGGATTCTAACCCATGATTTGTCTACCACGTTTTAAGTCAGCATTGTGTTCGTTGCGAGCTGCATGTGGAACTCTTGTTGGCCAACCAGCTCTGAGATTGAAACCCGATTTGAATCATTGGAAGGTGAATGCTCTATCCTCTGAGCCACCATGGCTCATCTACAACTTAAGCTGCTGTCATGTTCAAAAAGTTTGCCCTAAGATAATTCATATCATTATTTCCACTGTTGGCATCCCATTTCTTCCACGAGTCCTAAAGGCCAATGAAATTGTTTGGTGATGTGTATTGAAAATCTTACATTTTAATTTAGCACTGAAAATTATATTATTTAAGAGTCTGTTTAAGTATTTATACATAATGATGTCTAATTGTGAAGATTTGTATGTTATTTGTAACTGCTATTTTTTAGTAGGGAATATGCTTGCTTAGTGTGTGATTTGTTAATTTAATAGTAGTGTTAACAACAAAATTTGATTTATGTTAACAGTTATTTATATAGTAATTATAAAATTGGGTTTTACTATACTCATTTATTTAAAGCATTAAAAAACTACAGTTATTTTAATTTGTTAAAAAAATTCATTAATTGCTCCTACTTATGATATATTAAATAGCTTGAAAGTTAATACTATTATTTGAACTAGATATAAATTGCTTTAAAAAACTGTTTTACTATTTCTTTTAGAAAACTAACACTTCAGTTGGTCAGAACCCCTGTGGCAGAATTTTTTCGAGCTATCTGTGACAAAACTCTCTGCACTAATCTTTCTGCAAGATACTTTTAATAATAAGAAGCATATATGTTACTAATTTAAAATTACAAAAGCGCTGTGTTTAAAAAAGAAAACTATATAATTTTTTTAAATTGAACATGTAATAATTTTTTATTTTAATATTATGGGGGATATTCTCGCATTTTGTTGGGGGGAACACAAATTATTTACTTCTTCTCAGTTTGTAAATAATCATCACAATAAAGAAAATGATTAGTAACCATGAAATCCGTAGTAGTAATTGCTGGAGAGAAAAAAGATCGACAACAAAATCACGCGAATCGGATTCCTCAAATGCGTGTTTCGTTTCGAGATTAGGTTGTAGTAAATAATATCGTATGAAACATATCGTATATAAAAAACAATAGCGGTAACTTCTAAAAAGTAAATAGTCAAATGCACAATTCGACTTTTCCTTATTGTTTGAAATATATCGGGATATTTAAAATCCATGTGAATATCAAAAACTGCCGAAAATAAAATCGAAACATTACATCGATTTTCGATACTATCGGCGTAAATGGAGTGCGTCAAAAAGTTATTATTTAAATGCAGGATTCAAGCGTTATGTGTAAATTTCTGTGGAAAAGAAATTTTTTTTTCTTCTTGCCTTTCAAACGAAAAATGTTTCTGCAAAAACTCTGTAACGTTCTGTGACAATGTCGATTCTGCCAGGGGGATCAAAGCCTATTTCTTTAGGTAAGATTTTTTTTTTCACTGTGAAGGAAACTTACCTACCCTGATTATTTAATTTTAAAAAAATAGATATTTATTTCCTATTAAAAACATAACAATACTTAACTGTGATGTAAGATCTCGTCCAGAGTATTCTGAGTTTTCCCTGATGACTTCTTTTCCTACGAAAGAACTTACTGACGAGAATGCAACGCTCGAGGAATCGGCTCTGCTGAATTCAGTGATTGTTCAGAAAATGAAATAAATATTCTATTTATCTTGTATATAGTACTTATATGTAAGAAAAATAAAACATTTTGTAATACTTGCTTCATTTACGCATTTCATGAAAGCTGTGTCAAACATTTTTAACCACAGATTTTTAGAAAAATAAACAAAACCATTTTGCGCTCTTTTTTACAGGGTTTCCATTCCACAAGGAAAATATAGGGAATTTAAAAATCACCTAAGATAACAGGGAATTTTGTTTCTTATTTTCGTCTTTTAACCTCTTCGAGACATGTGAGACGATTGTACTCCGGAAAAAATTCCGGATTTATTGCCAATTACGATACCGAAGTTTCCGGTAATCCAAGGTTTAGAAGTTTCGAGATATCATCGATCACATTTATGTCTAAAAATTCTTGTATATTTTATTTAGAAATATTAGAACTAGAATTTGCACTTGGCATCTCCCTCATTTGTAAATATTTTTTTCTGGAAGAATAATAAATGTGATTAGATGTAAAAGTAAACTTTTGCATATGTGGGGGGAGGAGTTATCGACAATGCCAACCTTCATCTATCAAAAGGAACCTCAAGATTGAATCAAGTTAGCATGTCTTATATACTAGTGAATTGAAGTTGAATTTTCGTAGTGGTAGTTACGCCACAATACTCCCCCACCAGAATTTTATCAGGGAGAGAATTCGAGGAACGGATACCACTAGTTGCTGTGCTTGTGAAAGACCGGGAGAGCTGGATTAAGGTCACCGGGTTTTTTTTAGTGCTGAATGTGAGAGATGTATTGACTTCACGGTCGAAGTCGCTCCTCCATCGAAGAAGGCGTTACCAGATGGAAGTATGCGTTACTGTCAAGATATGCATTATCATATCACGTCCGGGTCACCAATGTGGGTAGAGGAGTTATCGACAATGCCAACCTTCATGTATCAAAAGGTACCTCAAGATTGAATCAAATTAGCATGTCTTATATACTAGTGCAGTGGTCGGCAAAGTGCGGCTCCAGAGCCGCATGTGGCTCTTTGGCTCCTTAAGTGCGACTCTCGCACAAATATCCACGGAAGGCGCAATAATATTTTAATTAAAATAAAACTTGGTAAGAAAACAGCAGAGCAACTTTAGCATTTGTCAAAAATCATCTTAATACTACGATAACCGAGTTGAAATTTTCTCTTTTTGAAATTGACGTTGGTAGCTTTAAATACAATTGCTGGATTTAAGAAACAAGGAAATATGGCACTTTAAATTTGAACGTCTTTGTGTTAAATTGGATATATTGGAGAAGAAAAAATTTGATCTTAGTTCACAACACAAGTGGTCTGCTTTGAATGACCTGGAGAAGGAAGACATGATCATTTTNTTATTTAGCGAAGAACTAATGTTTAAATATTATCAAGAGTAAACTGAGAAGTCGTCTTATTGATGAGAACTTGGAATCATGCCTAAAATTAAAAATAACAACATACAAACCAGACTTACTCAAACTTTCCAAGGAGATACAAGCACGTTGTTCGCATTAATAAATATTTATTAAGTATGAAATTTAGTTTTATTTAGTGTACTACTTATTTAGTGTAATAAAAGTTTACTAAACAAGCAGATTTGGCTCCCAATTTTTTTTTAGAATTGTTGTTATGTTCATATTTGGCTCTTTGGCTAATAAGTTTGCCGACCACTGTACTAGTGAATGGATGTTGAATTTTCGTAGTGGTAGTTACGTCACACAGAATTGTTTATTTAAATTATGCTGCATATAATCCATTTAGAATTTCGTGTTTTTAAAATATAAATTATTTAAATTTATGAAGACATTAATTTTTTGAAATGCGTCATTAATGATTTTACTCAAGAAATTTTCAGGAATTTTGAGTTGGGCTCACAATCACCCCTATATATGCATTCGCAGGGTGGCGGCAATCAGGGTAAAGAAAATTAAATCTGGTAGGCAAAGTATTTCTATATCAGTTTATTTGGGGGAGGGAGGAGTAATAATAGTTTGATTTACTTAATATATCACTACTTAATTCAAAATAAAAATTATATTGTTACACTTTGAACTAACGTTATTTAGATATGTTAGAATTGATGTGAAAGCAAAAATAAGACTGTTAAATTGTGAAAAATATGCTTTCTCAAAAAAAAAGGCTACCGCTTTTTATTTTTTTCCATCCTGATTCTGTTTCCATATGAACACGTTTATGACTCGCCCGTCCCGAAAAGGTTAAAAAATGATAACCAGTCAAAGTGCAATTGTCATATTTTACCTTTCCTTCACCACAATGCTTCCCAAGTAATATAACTAAAAGAAAAATGGGAATCAATTTGTAACACGAAAACCATTTTTAAATGAATATAAGGAAAATTAAATCACTAAAACAAGCGTACACCTCCGCTCTCCATCAGATCCCTACCTTCTCTCTCTTTGTTTCTTTTTCTTGAGGGTGGGCCCACCAGACACCCCCCCCCCACCTAAAATTGGATTCAATCAAAAAACAATGTCTGGTGATGTGAACTCCTTAACACTCGGTATACTTAATCAGTTCACAAAACACAATCCTGGAATACAAAAATATTAGAAAGTTAGATACACATATAAAACAAGTAATGTTCAGAAAAGTTTTTTTTTTTAAAGTGTTCATTTTTCAGTTTCTAATCTAGACAAAGCGTCCGCGTTTGTCAACTTCTCACCCGGACAGTGCACCACCGAAATGTCATATTTTTGCAGCGCAAGTGCCCATGTCTGCAACTTCGACGATTGCGGAGCATTTTTGGAGATGAAAGTCAACGGATCCGCAATTAGCTCCACAGCTGATCCGAAAATCCAGGTTTCAAACTCCACACTGCAGAGTAAGCCTCTCTTTCAATCCATGCCTGCTGATCTTTAGTCAACTTTTGGCTGGCATGGCTGATAGCGTAGGTATAGTTTTTCCATGTGTTTTGTGATTGAGGAATTTATTATCTAAATGTAATTTAATTAAACCAGTTACATACTTACAAGTAAACTCTTCTTGGTTTTGATAAAATAATCTAATACAGAAGTTTTCACTGTAAACTTCATATAAAAGGTAAAAATCGCAACCAGTGATCAAAATAAAGACAAGCCATAAACGTCGTTGATCGCTTCCCTTCGATTGGGAGATAAGCGAAATTCTAATAAAAAGAACATTAAAACAAAACCACCGTTATTGTCAAAAAATCCGTATAAAATATCAATAAAAATTCATCTGTTCACAGCAAATTATAATGCGTTTAAGCAGGCAAAATAAAGTATTAATATTTAAAAAAATGGATTCTTTACGAAGTAGAATTCATGGGTAATTTTCAGGAAATACGACACATATGATTTTTTTTTTTTAATTATTAACCTTTTGGATTGGAATACTATATTTCTTTTTTTAACTCTTTTTTTTTTAAATTCGTTTATTAAAAGAACTCTAATTAATACCTCATAGAGAGCAATATACAATAGTTAACAAGCATTTAGCAGTTTGCAATTATTGCAACCTTGCCTTTGCATTCAAGTGCCAGAAAAATTACAATTTATAATTTTATAGCTTTTACTTCCATGTTCCATTTCATTTTTAGTTAGTCTTTGTGTTATTAATCACAAGACTTTATTAAACAGCTCTGATAGAATAATATAGTTTATATTAATTATTTAGAGAACGCAGGAAAATGGCAATGTATAAAATCATTCCAAAAAGCTAATAATAATGATGTTAAATAAACTTTTAAAAAAAAATTGTCATTTTATTCTATGATATCAGATTTTAATGGCAGTTACATTAAATTGTCGTATTTTACGAAAATTACTAGCAGATATATAGTACATTCGCAGAAGTCGGTAAATGAATATATCTTCACACAAATTTTTCCTTTTGTTTATTTCAATAATATCCTGTTAAACTACATTACTAAATAGAAGGTGTAAAACTTTAATAATGTAACAAAAAATTATTAATAAATACAAAAGATATACAAATTTACAAAGCCTCAAAATATTTCGTAAATAAATATTGAATGAAAAAATCCGTGTTTCGTAAGGTCACGGACTATCAAATTAGGATTACGATAGAGTGGCCGCGGGCATTTAAACATTTAAAGAATCACTTATCGCACTAAATATCGCTGTTTAATAATCTTGAATCATTTTGCTAAACAAAGATTTTTTTCATTAGTTAGTGTTGACGATATATCATAATTAAGGAGTGGGTCACTTCAAGTCAAAGCATAAAATATCTTCTAACTCTTGGAATTAAAGTATTATTTTTAAGTTAGTTTACTCTTTTATTTAACTTGATTTCTTTTTTTATTCAGTGTCAGACTTAGTTTAGTGCAGCGTAATTATTGTTAATTTTATTTCCTTACACTGTTTACACAAGTTTATGGTTAACAAATAAAAAGTTTGAGATCATTTATGAAAAATTGAATGCAGTTGCAATGATAAATTTTTCATATCTGTTTCGTGATTCGTATTTAAGTAATCTGAATTTTAATAAAATTTTCCTAAGTTAAGCATAAAATTATTCGTTTGATTAATATAAAATTAAAGAAAAACAGCATTCATTATAAAGAATTATTAAGCAATTACATACTCATGAAAGATATAGTATATAGGGGAGAGTTGGATAAAACGGGATAGTCGGACAAAACGGGATACGTCGCCTAGGGACCAGACTATTGCAGCTATCTAGTGGACAACGACAGAAACGTGTTATTCGACCGTGATTATATTATTCTCGGTGCGTCCCACCTCGGGATCACTATTTGATAGAAAGTTGTAGGTCTCAGAACTTTTTTACTCTATTTTTTTGCCATTTTCTACATTTACGTGCGTTGTTTTTTACATTGTACTGCCTACATATATGGGAATAAAATTCCGGTGAGTATTAAATTTAATTAACCATTTATTTACCAATATTTTTATGTGCAGTCTATCTAATTTTCTTTTCACATTTAGGCAGCAGCCATGTTTGTTTCAAAAAGTGTCGGAGTCGGACAAAACGGGACACTTGTGAGTTGGATAAAACGGGATAGAGTTTTTCATGTCCCGTTTTATCCACCTATTTATTTGTTGGATTATTACATTTTAAAATAGCCATATATTAATGTAGGCCTAGGCTTTTTAAACAACTTATTTATATTAGCTATATATATTTTTGAAAAATTTAGTCTCTTTATATAGTAATGCAAAATTTGTTTATTAACGTTCATTATTAAGCATTTTATTTTCGACTCTAGGATTTCACATCTTTCTTTAGAACTAATTGTAATGTATTTCTCTGATGAAGACTTGAGCTTTTTTATATATAAACTTCTTAATTTTCTGGATTGCTCAATTCAATCTACATTCAATTCTAAAATGAATTCTTCTCTTTGTAACTGAAGAATTTAAATGCTTGATTATTAAAGAGTCTTTCAGGGATGTTACGACATCAATGGAGTGAATTAGAAATAAAAGTGAATTAGAAATGGAAGAAAAGGAAAGGATTATTAAACTACAAAAAAAGAACCAAGAGAATTGAAGAAAAGGCTGCTAAGAAATCTCTATTAAGAGCACAAGGCACATCTCGACAACGAAAAATGTGAAAATAAGCCTTCATGTTTGAAAACTCATAGTCTTTAAAAACAAATGTAGCATCATATTTTTTTGTGTACTTACTTATAAAACAACAATCTATATAAAAGTGTTAGAACAGTAAAATCCCATGAATATAATTTATAGAAATTTTGCTTTGCAGTTCTCTGTCAGTTAATTATGCTTTTCACTTAGTTTTATGCAAAAAATTAAACATTGTAAACCCTATCCCGTTTTATCCAACCCAGGTATGCTAAAACGGGATATGTAAGAGTTTGGAAATTAATTTTTTTTTCTATTTCACAGTCATTAAAATTAGTTTAAAATATGTTTTTTGTGTGCTTCAATAAATGTTGTAGCTACAAAAAAAAACAATGTATGGTTTTCCTTAACAGATATTCCGTAGTAAATAAAAACAATAATGGTATCCCGTTTTATCCAACTCTCCCCTATATATATATATTACTGCATGTATAATCACTAAAAATAAACATTAGTTCAGAACATGTTGTCACAACTTAATTATACAGAAAATTTATGAATTACGTTGAATTTATTATTACGAAAACTTTATTATTATGAAAAATTTATTAATACGAAAAATTTATTATTGCTTAATAATTTTTTTCTTTACAGATTAAAACTCTTCGATACTATTCTGATATTTTGTAATTTAAACTGATATTATTTAATAAGTGGATGTAAAGATTTCCTGTTAATCTGTTGCGTTAGGATAAAATATTCATTATTTACTAAATTTCAGTTGTATATTTTTTTTAAAGATTTCTTCAAAAGGTCTATGCATATAATAGCTAAAGAAAAAGGGGTCTCGACTCTGCTATAAATATATATGAAATTAAGTTGACAAGAAAAAAAAAGAAACTATTTGAGCTGATTCAAATCATTCTTAGAAAGCACTGAATTGTTTTTTTTAATTAACAATTTCAGTAATTTTTATGATAATTTAGAGGTTTGTTGACATTTGTTTTAATTTTATAAAACTGTTACATATATCGCTACTTTTGATTATGCAATGAAGTGTTATCGTTCAAAATTTGTCAATATAAGTAACTTCCCGCTCAATAAGATCCCAAGAAAGGAAAGTTAGTAATAGAAAGTATTTTTCATTTTCTAAAAAATAGTTAAACTTTAAGTTACACTTACACATTTATACTAAGATAGTTTGAATGATTAATTACTCTCAGCTATTCATTTATGAAATTTTTGTGTTTCATTATAAAATTAAATGTAATATAGATATTTCAATTCTGACTGAATTATAATAAAGTTGTTTCAATTTTCAGTTTAAAATTTCAAAAATTTTTAAGTTCGATTTCATAATCATTAAATAAGAACAAAGATTGGGAATTAAAAATAAAATTATGCATGAATAATCAAATTTACTAAATAAATCTATTTGTTGTACAGTTTAAATGTTAAATATGTGCTGAAATATAAAAGCATTATAAATGTTACATATATGCGGAAAGATTGATTTAATACAAATATTTGCTTACCTCCAATATTTTTGATTCAAGTTCTTTTTATAGCCAATGAAAGATCACATTTTATTTGCAGGAACAGAATTGCACTATACAAATTAAAAATTAACGGACGAAATTAACAAATTTAAATTAATCGGTAAAAAAATATAAAAATAAATTTTAAATAAATTGCTTCATTAAACAAGAGGAAAAATCTAAAACTAAGCGCTTTTAGGATGAGTGTCTAAGACAGAATGACCGAAAAAATTGCCAAGGAAGTTTTATGTCTTGAAAAAGTTAGCATGTATATGCTGTTGTTGTTGTTCATTTACGTCGCACTAGAGCTGCACAATGGGCTATTGGCGACGGTCTGAGAAACATCCCTGAGGATGATCCGAAGACATTCCATCACAATTTTGATCCTCTGCGGAGGGGATGGCTCCCCCGCTTCGGTAGCCCGACGACCTGCGCGCGAAGTCGAGCACTTTACGGTAGAACAGTTTAACGAGGACCAATACCGCACACCCTCGGCCCCTACGCAGGCTGATCCAAGTGGTCACCCACCCGCACACTGACCGCAGCCAGTGATGCTTGACTTCGGTGATCTGCTGGGAACCGTGTCTTAACGATCAGTCCACTGCGGGACAGCATGTATATGCAATATGCTGTCCTAGAAATCCAAGAGAATTCTTTGAGGCATGCATTTTATGACCGTAAATAGGATCTGTGTATAGCCGATATTTTAAAAAGTAGATGAGATAAGATAGAACCCATTGGAAGAACATTTTCCCTCAGTGTAATATGAGCTGGACTTTCTACTTTTCTGAGGGGAGAAGTTTTGTGGATGGTAAGTCAATGAGGAAAGGGATGCTATCTAATTTAATCACTGAAGAGAAGCGTTTATTGCTCTCTTGATGAATGGGTAGCAAAGAGGTAGCAGTGATCATTTTATTCCTGTTACATACTAATAAAAGCCTAAAAATAAAATGTCATGGGAATTCTCCATTTTTTTAAGTAAATAAAATATTTAAAAATTTTCTGAAATGAAGGAAAAATTATCTATAGTATTAAAAAAAAAGAAAGAAAAATTGTTTAGTACAATGCGGGGTCTTTGAACACCCCCCTTACCTACGTCCCTGGGCGTTACTGTGTGTTCAAATCACGTCCGGAGATCGCCAATGTGGGGGCGGTGTTATCGACCATACCAACCGTCATTTATCAAAAGGTACCTCGTGATAGAATCAAGTTAGCATGCTTTATATACCAGTGAATTGATGTTTAATTTTCGTAGAGGTAGTTACGCCACACAATTATAACATTTTGATGAGTGGTATGTTATCTAAAAGTAATGTAGGGATAATCTATGCATACATTATTTGAAAATAAAATTTTCAAACGAAGGACATTTCATTTGGAATTCGGCGATATATGATAGTATTCTACAGAATGGTTTTTTACGTCTGATTAAGAACTATAGGAATTAAAAAAAAAGAAACAATATTAAAGTTTTTATTTTAATATAAAGGATTTTTAAAATCGCTTTTTATCCTATGAATTCTTTATTTTACGTTTTTTAGTTAATAATTTTTTGATAAAAATTGTTGTCAAAATACTTTTTTTGAAAAATTAAATGGTAGTATAACATTATGTGTTTATGTATTCTTCTTGTATATTCCAATGTTTGAAGTAATATGATTCAGAAAAGTATGGAATGAAAATTCGGTACTTACTAACGCCACTGCCGCTACAAATTTTGGCGGTTTTTAAGTACCTCCAATCTACACTTTGAAATTTTTGCGACAAATCATAAAATAAAACACTTTATTTAAAATCAAAGTAGTCAATCGGATTTCGGTGGAAAATGGGCCGATATAGAGTTTAGCATAGATTCAAAACAATCATATCGCCATATGAACTCTGATAAATAAGATTCCAAATGAAATAACATTTCCAAAAAGTACGTTTACCAAGATAAAGTTTCATGCCGTGGAAATTGGTGCATTTTCGGTTTTTCCGTAAAAAATTTCGCTCCTGCAAAAATAAAATTTCATCTTGTTTTGTTTTTGGTAAATCCCAAAGACGAATTTTCTTAGCACTGAAGAATGGCGACAAAAAAGAATTGTTTTTTTGTTTTTGTTTCATAAGTATTCTTTATTTTTCGTTTTCTAGTTTCTAAATAATGATTTTTATTGAAACTTGAAATTTTTGGTTAAAAATTGTTGTCAAAAAACTTTTTTTACAAAATTAAATTTCATAAAATTATGATCGTTATGTATACTTTTTGTTCATTTTAATTTTTGAAGTAACATGATTCTTAAAACTATCGAATGTAAAGTTTAACTAGGCTTTTCATGTTTTCTTTTTATAAAGTTTAACATGGCTTTTCATGTTAGGTTTTTCATTAAATTTAATAAAACTATTTCTCGGTCATTAGGTTTTAACTCTTATAAGAATATACATATTTTTTTTTGTTTATGTACAAATATTTTTCCGATGTGTTTTGGGTATTCCTTCTCTAACAAAAAGAGATAACATTTTGTTTTCGATTTCATGAGAAAGAATATCAAACATTTTTCTTTTTTAAATTTATTGGCCACAATAAAGAAGGAACGTTGCAATGCTACACGTTACATTAAAGACGTTTCTAGAGTAAATGAATGACTGTTCATATAGGAATCGCAGGTATTCGTCTCATACAACAACGCCCCCTATAGTGCGTTGCGATCGCGAATCAAGTGATAACGATGATAAATTCACGATAATTTTTAACTCGTATTGAGTTAAAAGCTAATGTACAATTTAAACAAAAAGCATCTAAACTGTTTTCTCTGCCATACACACCTCCGAAATCCTATAATACTTCCTTGTTATAAAAATTAATTCATCTTTAAGTTTCTTGCACATTTTTAAAAGGATTATCTGAATAAAAATGTTCATTTTAAATTAATATTTAAGTATGTCGTCCCAATATCGTATGCCTTGGAGGGCAATGAACATCTTGGAAAACTATAAAAGCTTTGTAATTAAAAATCCATTGCTTGCTAACGAAATTGAAGTTGGTTTGAAATGGACGTCATATATAATTGCCGGTATGTTTATTCATATTTTAATAATTCTTAAACGTTACGCAGAATTGGAACTACGAAGCGCTTTATTCTTGAGGGTGGACCAGCTTGAAATCAGGTGGAATGCTTGATATCAGGTGAATATTTAAGCATCGCCATCTATTCGCGACCAATACCTTCGCAGAAATGTTTTTTTAACATGCAAAAATTATTTAAAAAATTATTTGCCTGAGGGTGTCTACGAGTTATACCCTTAGAGTTGGTACCTCTTATGATATTCTTTTCTTAGTTTTCCCCATCGATACTGACTTTTCCCCGATATCAACTTTTCCTGAACTTTTCTACGTTGTAGCACCGAGATTTGAAATGATCTGACTTCATCCTAGCGCATAATATTTGTCTGTGATTCTGTATTAATTATCTACATATTGATGCATATAGAACATGCTTATGTTTAGTGTTAAACAACAATCAAAAGTTGTTTCTAATAATTTTAATAATACATTCTGACATGATTCAAAATATATACTTATGACACGGTTTCTACTAAACATCTTTCCTAAAAGTTGCTTTTGGCTAATGTCACATTTCCTCTTTTTAAACGTTGTGTCTGTTAAGGGCTCCCACAAATCAGAAACATTTTGGTCTTGGTTTTTGCGTCAAATTAACCTCTAAGTTTTAGCACCTCTTAGGCAGTGGCATGCGAGAAGCAAGAACAGACTTCTCTATAAACAAATCAATACATATATTTATTTTTTTCCAGCTGATAAACTTTCAACTCTACATGAGACATGGGAATATAATACCCGTATTTCTATTGAATCAAAAAAACTTACCTAACAGTACTTGTGCCTAAACAACTTGCAGTACTTCTGCTATTTAGGATTAGCGTCAGGGATGGGGCATATACCCCCAAAATGCAAATTTTTCCTGAATTGATTACATAATTAATTTTTTTTTAAAAAGTAGCTGAGCAAAAATTTAGATTCTTACATCCACTATCCCATTTTTTCTTTTACAATCTTCTCCTGCTTATTATTATTATAAATGTTTTACTTCGTTTGGTTTCATCAAAGATAAAAGGTAACTTTTAAAAAGAAATTTTAAATTATTGACTTAGGATATGTTTAAGTCTTTTTGAACTGTATACCTATTTTGTGAAAATTTAGACATAATTATTTCATCCAACCCAGCTCAGTAAACACACCTGAGGAATCCAAAGTATTTTATCTAACGTGTAAAATGATTGGTGCTTTTAAACACTACAGATCGAATGTAAGCCAAAATGGATTGTGGTAGAATGAACATGAATGCATGTGCAACTCTGCTACATTTTGCAAGATATTCTCAATTTCAGACTTCCTTTTCCACCCTATGACATCGAACCGAAAAATCTCTTGATCATTTTATAATGGCTACTATAATCGAGAAAAGAGTTCTTTGTCAGAAGCTAGTTATTTTATCATGATCATGCAAAGTCTTTAAAAATTATTTTGCTTTTTGTTAATGTATATAGTGCTTAAAAAGTATTTAAAATGTGTTTATTTTTTGTTGGAAGATTTGGCTGCACAGTCTGATAATGACAGCGTTGTTCCATCAATATAAAGTTTTAATGAAATGATTTGATTTTGTAGGTCGTTTTGGCCGTTCACCTGTTGTGACAGAATTCATTCATTCTGTTTCAAAATTACTCAATTTACTAAATGATTCTCTTCTCAGAAAAGCTGCTGGTTTACCAATTCATGAGGTAAGTATAATTTTTTTTCTTTCATTTGTATAGATTACTTTTTGTAATATAATGAAGACAATTAAATTGCAATTTACTAAGCAGTCCCATTTCCAAAAATGGGAAATTTTTTTTATAAGGGGCAGAAAAATTCAATTTTTACTTATCTAAGCAGTTATTTTATGCATTTTTCTTATTATTTTCAAGTTTCTGTTACTACGTATTATAATTATGATAAAGTTACAATTGCCAGTTTTGCTGGATTTTCCAGTAGACTACTGGATTTAGTCAGTTTCTCCTGGTCTACTGGTTTAATTAAAACTCTCCTGATATTTGCTAATATTTTAGAAAATTCCCTAAAATTGAGTAAATGTCCTAAAAATAAGACAAAATCCTTTTTGAAATAAAATTTTGGTACAGAATATTGCTAGCTTGCTTGAATAGTTAAATAAGTATTACTAATACATAATGAAGCAAACCTCATTTAAAGAATTCAGTTCGAAACTTTTGTTTGTTCTAAAATGTACAGATTATTTTTATTTAGAACTCTTTTTTTTAAAAATTAATAAGAAAAAATCTTTTAACTCTCTTTGATGAATTAAATGCATATTAATATTCAAAATTATAAGTAAACATAATGCATAACATTTCAAGTATGTTTAAGGTCAATCATAATTGGAAAATATTTCACTTTTTCTATTTTGATGAGTTTAAAAGTCCCAAAAATTCCCTATGTGTAAAATATTTAGTACATTATGTAACAATTATGAAATTTATATTATTTTGTAGAATCTACTGGATTTTTACCTATCCATATTGGCAGCTATGAAGTTAACTATAATCCTTGGATATTATTTAGTTTAAATTGTCAAAATTATATGAAGAGCATCTGCTTATCATAAAGCCTAAAATGTTATTTTAGGCTTGCCTACATTGAAATTTTTTTTAAAAAAATATTTCTATTAAATTTAGTTGAATTTTAGTTTACATTAAAAAGTAAATAATGCAATCTTCGAATAAAATAAAAGAAAAATTATTTTGATTCGCTTGTTGCAATAGATGAATGTGACTAACTTAGTGATTTTTCTGTGGAAATTTTATTGTGAATCTCTCATTTATAATTACTATTTCATGAAAGTAGCAGTTTTATGGAATAAAATAAATAAAGAGATTACAAACATTCGTGATCATTACCTCAACATACCTTTACTTAAACTTGACTTTTTTCTTTTTTAAAAAAAATATGAAACTTTTTAGTAAAAATAGATAACTGGTTAATTGTTTCTAATATTTTGTTTCAATATCATAAGAAAGTATAGAATGTAATCCTAATCTAATCAGATATCATCTGATTGCATTAAGTAAAATTTCTAGGTTTGGAGTTTATTTATTTTTACGAGAGGAGCAAATTTTAGGTCATTGAAAGATAGAATTTTGTTAATTGGCTTTGAGCTGTTTGAAATGTTTTTCTTTTTCAATTACATTCTCTAAAATTAACTTTACTGCAAATGTTAAATATTTTAAGCTGGATCCAGACTCACTTTATTCTTCACCTCAAATTATGTCTGATTTTTTGTTTAGATGTTAAAGAACGACTTCATTTTTTAGTTGCAGAACATCTTAATAATGGAAAACTGAACCAATCTATAAAATTAATCTGAATATCATGAATATTACAAAAGTAGTAAAAACTCAATGTGGAATTTTATTTGTCTCCTCTGTTACAAGTACTTTAAATTAACTTGCAATTATGAGACTTTTTTATTATATTATGCCATTGCACCCTAAAGTTGCATATTCTGGCAAAAAGTTTTGTTTTTAGATATATTTGTTAAAATTTATAGAATAAAATACTTGTGTGACCTCTGTTACACTTAGAATTCAATATTAGCCATTTTAGTGTCAACTTAATAAAATTATATTTGTTCACTTATTTTATGTTTTATTGTTCAATAAAAAAAGAAGTTTCACCTGAAATTTAAACATATTTCTCTTGATATGTTTCATGTTGATACTTCAATAAACATAGTTGAGTTTAACATAATGTCCAATGATAAATGTTTCATTTATAATTATAAGCAATTTAAAAATGACTGTGTTACTTATTTTAAATCAAAAATTTTTATGGGTGCAAAAACAGAAAATCATGTTGAAACAATAGTAACTTTTTTGACAAAACCTATTTGCCTTTTATTTCCATTTATATAATAATTTTTAGGATCAACTGATAGAAAAGATGCAGACATTTTTGACTGTAATAGAACATGCTGAAGTATTTGCAGAGGTTGCAGCTGCCCGAATAGCAGGTGCAAGAGGTAGATGGCTGATTGTTGTTTTACTCGAGCTTTTTAAGTAAGTACAAAAACTACTATCATTCAGCAGGGATAAAGTGAAAAACTCTTGAAAATTTTATGTGCAAAAAATCGATGTTAAGATAACAATTTACATACCATACATGTTTCATATTTAATATATTTTTTTGAACTAACATTTATAATTAAGTTACCTACTAATGAAGAATATGACACCTTTATAATAACTATTTCAAGAAAAAACTTGCAAGAATCGCGATAGTGGATTTTAAAATCTTGTGAATATGAATCACCGGCATTTGCTTCTAAAATGCATCGAGATGCGACATCGATGTGCTGATGCACCGACTTCAAAAACACGGAAATACAAATTCCGATATTGAATTTTTAAATCGCATGAATGCGAATCACAATTTAAAATGTTTAGATCCTGTGAATAATAATTGCAATGCGCAGTTTTTAATTAAGGTGTAAATTCAAATATTTGATATTACAATTGCATGAATACAGATAGCGATATTGTATTTTAAGCTCGCGTGAATAGGAAACGCTATGCATGATTTTTAAATCTAGTGAATATGAATCTTAACGCATAGCTTTCAAATCAGGTACATACAAAAATCAATGCTTGATATTAAAATAGTGTGAATAAGCTGAATCACGTGTATGGAAACATTTCGTTAACAGAATATAGCAAATGTTTCAAAATTTCGTTGCATTATAAGTTTTTGATTCACGGGAGTCCACAAACCAATGGTCTTGAGATATTCGTGATTTTTGTGGAAAAATAATGTCTTGCTTCTAGTTTTTAGACCCGGAAACATTTTATGAAAAACCTGGAAATCCGGGGTACACCCTGAATACAATCATCCCTAATCCTTTTTGGATAAATATTATTAAATGTGCTCTATCAAAACACCACTGTAGAAGCATTAAAAAAAAAACTTTTTTTTTTTAAATTTAAGAACTTAAAAGAATTGTATATTATATGTTGTGAATTCTTTTTAATTTGAACATGTATAATTTAAAAAATTGAATAATTTGAATTTACAATGATTTCTCTAGAATTTCTCAATAACCTCAATTATTTATAATTTCTGTCATGTTGTTAAAATTTTGTGAAATGACCCTATCTTCACTTTTCGGGTTGAAAGTTCAATGAAAAAAATAAAATTATAAATGCTATTCAGTTCATAAGTAAGAAAAAAATTGTCTTCAAAATATATTTTTTAATACTTCTGAAAGCTGGTTACCTCTACATTTATGAGGTGCCGCACCTCAGAAATGTACAGGTAACAAGCTTTCAGAATATTTTAACACGCATTAAAATAATGCTAAAATATTTTTACATTGTCTGTTTATAAAGTATACCATTTATCTTAAACCGAATAAACTTAAATGATTAACAGATCTATTTTATAACTTCCATGAGTTTCCAAAATTATTTTTAGGAACATATTCTCCTATGGCTTGGTCACGAAGGATGTAAATAAAAATTAGGCTTTTTTTTTATTCCTTTACACCGATGTTTTCCCTCATGAAAATTCAAATGAAAGTATAATATTTTAGAATATTGTTATTAACTAATTCAGAGCGAGCACTAAGGATTTTAAATTGTTAGCTAGTAAATTAGCCAAATATCAAAAGTATTTGTCAATTGTCGAAAGTCTTCGCCAAATGCAAATCTTAAAAAAATTTTATGATTAATTTTTTCCATAGAAAACTATTTTACGATAGTTTGTTTCAGGTTTATATTATTTGGATCCAATTCTGATTGGTTATGCTGCGCATATAATTACTGTAATCGAGTACAAATTCTGATTTTGAAAAATTCCTTTTGAAGTAATTTTGAGGATTGAAATTGTAGTGTCTACCACTACAAAATTGCAATTCCAATTCTCTAGTATATAAGACATGTTAACTCGATTCTATGTAGGGGTAGCTTTTCATAGATGAAGGTTGACATTGTCGCTAACGCCTCTCTGCACATTGGTGACTTTTGAACGTGATGTGAACATGCCTACCTTCGCAGAAACTCCCACTTCAATATGAACATGCCTACTTCGATGGATTGTCCGCATTCAACAATTGTCCTACTTGTGACTGAAACATTATCCACCTCCTCACACTGTTGCTACTCAGTCTCGATCACACACAACATTAGCCAGCATACACTTGACTGCTAATGGTAGCACAAGAGCAACCACGACCATGAACTTAATACAACTCTCACGATCAGCACTCAAAAAGTACGGTGATCTTAATACAGCTCTCCCAGCTTCTCACAAAACAGCCATAAATCAATTAGTGGTATCATTTCATTGAATTCCATCACAGCTATAAATCTGGTGGGGGAGTACTGTAGTGTGTCTACCACTACAAAATTGCAATTCCAATTCACCAGTATATAAGATATGTTAACTCTATTCTATGGTGGGACATAGACTTAGGTTGACATTGTCGATATCTCCACAGAGTTAAATATATATTTTCCTTTCCAGTAGAAAAAATCATTCGCCAATACTTTCACCAAAACATAATTTTATTTGCCAAATTTATGATTTGATCGCATTTGGTGAAGTGGCGAATGATTAGCGCGGACCCTGCTAATTATTAGGTAAAGTCATTAAAAACTTCAGCTATTATAATTTAGATTTTATAATATTTGTGATAGACAGATTCTATCGGTGAAGCTAATTTGATATAAGTTGTCAAATGTACATTTTATTGGGTAAGATATGAATTATTATTTTATTTCATTTTAAAAAAGATCTTTAGAAACCAAAACTAAGTTTTTATATGAAATTTTAAAAAAAAAACGTAGCTTGTATTTTAAACAAGCCTTCAAATGAATGGAATTTTTGGGAGGAAAAAATATTTTGTTTATTTTAATTTTTATTAAAATAAAATATGCTTTGTGCTTATATAGTGTGTTGCAAAAAAGAGATTAGGGTATACTTTGAATTATGTAGACTAAAATAAAAAAGACGTGAATAAAGCACAAATAGCGTACAGAAATAGGCGTACTATAGCTTCAGTTCTTTAACAAGAACCTTCCTCAGTGTCATCTTGTTTTTCACTTAAATCTGTAGATTTAGGATTGTGCAGTTTAAAAATTTCCCTTTAAATGACATGAAATATCAGCAGTTATATGAGTTTTTAACTTTCCTTTTCCGAATAACAGTACTTCCATAAACTGAAAGTAAAAATAAAATTTTATATTGCAGATTTATTGTTCGCCTTTTTCTATTGAGACGTGATCATAGACTTCTAATTGTTCCACCCATTTCCCCTCTTAATCGACAGAAAGATATTCCTCAACTGTGTGGAGGAGAAAAAACTGACTCTTCAATCACCACTCCTAAGCCTGAAAGGCCAAGTATTACATTCACTTTAAAGTCCTCCAAACGAATTATGAGGAAATTAGAAGCTGGTAATTATCTATTACTATTTGATTATTTATAATCTTTATTTACTTGTATTCATAGCTTTTCACCTACTCTTCTGTTTAATATAAAGCCTTCTCATAGTGTGTAGCTTTTTTAAAAAGTGCTTAAATTATTCTTTTTTTTTTGTTGCAAGTTCCTGATTCCACTGAAGAAGAATTCTGCTTATTTTTTTTTTCAGTTTCAGGTTGCGTAACGTTTTTAAAAAGTGCTTAAAGGTGCTTATTTTCGACTTTCGTTTCTTAAAAGCCCTTAAGGTGCTTTTTTCATTGGGTGTTTTTAAAAAGTGCTTAATTTTTCCTCTTTCTAAATGAGATTTTTCCTTTACTATGTTGATTTTCACTTCGAATGATGCGAAACGACACAGTTCACATTGTTCTATCTAACGTTTTCACAATTAATTCAACCCCGATCTATTTCGGCGTATTGTCAGTCCGTAGCATATGAAAACGCCACTTGTTTTACCCCATTCAAAATTTCATGATTTTTGACAGTTGTCAAAAACAATGCAAAAAGATGTTTTTTTTTGTTGACATGATGGTTAAAACAAGATAAAAACAAGATAAAACCATCAATTGTCAAAAACTTTCCAACCCTGCCTAATGAATGATATTTTTTTAAAGTGCTTAAAATTATTTTTTGAGTGCTTGAAAAGTGTGTAAAAGATGCTTATTTTTTGTTGAATAATTTGGCTATGCACCCTGTGTTTGCAATATATATAAATTATGTTCTAAATAAATTAGTTCTTCTGATTCATAAATTTTAAGCTTAGTGTTTTTTGTTTTTTTTTCAGTGGATCTTATTCCTTGTTCCCAGTTTTAAAATTAAGTTAGCGTTTCTTTTAAATTTCGCTTTTGTTTGGTGGTTTTTAAGTGTTTTAATTTGATCTGATAATTAAGCTAATCTTGTATTTTATCATTTTCTTTTTTTTCTCCTTGTAATTATTAATGAAATATATTGCGTTTTTTTAATCATCAAACTTGTTTTATATTGGTTAATTTGGTGATTTTAATAAATATTAAGTTTATTGTAAATTGCCTTAACTACAGTTAAATGAATAACATCAAGTAACTTACATATTTGTTAGTTTATTTTTCTTTTTGTTGATGACAATGGTTCAAACTGCATGAAATAGAAAAGTGAAAAAGCACAGAGAATGAGTTCAAAATTTCTTAAATTCGTTCATTTCTATTAATTCTACAAATTCAATAAAAATGATAAAACTAAAACTAGAAATTTGATATCTGAAATTTTTAAAAAAAAAATAACTATAGAACTATTTTATTTAAAATAATTATTTATTTCTTATTACGTTATTAAATTCATTTGATATTTTGCTTAAATAGTTTTTATCTGCATCTTATAAAAGCAATAAAAATGATTTTTATTTTAAAATTTCATTTTCCACACAAAAAATACTGAACTATGCAATTTAATTTTTATATTTATAAATTACTTTTTCAAACTATGAGCAAAACACTTAATCCAAGATAATTTAAACAAACAAGAGGTAGTTATAATTAAAAAATTATCAAATATGAATTAGATAAATTTATTAAGATCTTGTATATTGTTTTCAATTTTATGTTAAATATTGATTATTAATATTGTCCCATTCTAATACAGTTCCAAGTTTTTAATTACATTGACAACATTTAGTTTTAATTAAATATTTTTTTAAATTAAAATATCTTGTGATTTGTAACAAAAATAAAGATTTTAATGGGTAATATAAAAAATTAGTTTTTAAAGATAAGTTTTTCTTTAACGTTTATTTACATAATTAAGTAAGGAAGATAAACTTTATGAATTCTTAATCTATCTGCTATCAAGTATTATTTTGAAGTTATTTCACTTTGTAATAAAATGTATTTGCAAATAAAACTTCATGTAATAAATAATATATATATTTAAATCTCTGTTTAGAATTATTCAATAAACTAAACATTTAATTTTAAACGAATTTCTCTCGGGACAGCTTTTTTTTTGTTGAGGAAGAAGAGTAATAACCTATTAAACTTAACAGGCAAAAATATTCATACCTGCCAACACTACTGGATTTTGTCAGTTTCTCCTGGTCTACTGGTTTAATGAAAAATTCTCCTTTTTTTTTGTACATTTTAGAAAGTTCTCTTAAATTGATTTAGTTTCCGAAAAAAATCCCTATTAAAATGGAATGTTTGTACAGATTGTTGATTACTTGAATCTTTAAATAAGTATTACTGATACATAATGAAGCAAGCCTCATTTGTAGAAACCTTCAGTTTAAAACTTTTTTTTTTGTTCAAAAATGTTCAGTTTTTTTTTTTTAAATTCAAAATTCCCTTTTTAAAATAATTAAAAAGTCTTAATTTTGATAAATTAAATGCCTTTTACTATTCAAAATTATGAGTAAACATAATAAGCATTTCACTTTCATGTCATGTCAATTATAACTGGAAAATATTGCAGTTTTTCTACTTTGATGACTATAAAAATTCCTAAAATTCCCAATGTGTAGAATATTTAGTACATAATGCAACAATTATTTTGAAATTTATATTATTTCGTAAAAATCTACTGGATTTTTTTCCTGTCTATGTTGGCAGCTATGAATGTTGAAAGCAAGGTAGCATTAGCATGTATTTTTTACCCCTTTGAAAATTTTATTAATATTAAGCTCTATATTTTTTAATCAATTGCTAATTACTATATAAAAACTTAAACATATATTGCCAATTTAAATTAACACCATAAGCATTATGTCGTTCAAATATCATCACAACTATATATGGATCTGGAAAGGAATTCATATTAAAGTGTTATATGATAATAAATTACTTATCAGGAGAAAAAAAATTCTGCATTTCAAAATTATATTTCTGGCAAAACTTTCCTAGTTTAGAAGTTAGTTTTGAAACCACAAATATTAGGAATTATGAAACAAAATGTAAAGATGATTAAATCCATAGCCTCTCTCAAATAAAAACTAAAATACAGTGATTCCAATAATTTACATGTTCAGTTGAAGGAATTTTTCTTCTTTGTAAATAACTAATTAACTATTGACAATGTAAACAAAACTTATTTGTACTTATATATATATATATATATTTATAATTTATATATGATTTTCAACATTATTGAATTTTCAATAAAATTCATAAATACCCAGGTATTTATGAATTTTGGATATTTACCCCAATCTATAAAAACCTAGGTATTTTACATCTCTTTTATTTTTTCTCATTACTCAATGAAGAATTTTTGCATTAACTTCCAGTTTAAGCTCTTTAACTTATCTTTCTATTTAATCTGTAAACCTATTCTCTCATCTTCTGATTTTATACTTCGAATGCTTCTAAAATTTTTGAAATATTAACTAAAGGAAATGTCCATTGGATAAATTTCCGATAATTTTTAGTCTAGTGTGTTTTTAAGTTTTGCTGTATAAAGGTATGTTTTGTTGATGATATACGATTATGAAAATAGATTTTAACTTAGATGTAGTAAATACTAATTGTTGATGAAATCTGATTTTGTGATATTTTTTAGATGTCTAGTAACTTTTTAAGAATATTTTTTTTACAAATATCACATTACAAAATGAACCATCTGGCTGGTAGTTTGAATTATTCAATATATGAGAATTTTGAATACATTAATTGGTTTACTGTTTATCACCTTTTCACATATTCAGAAAAATCAATTTAACTTAACAAAAAGATTCACAACAAAGAATATTTCTTTAGAAAACAGTAAGAAAGAAATTTTCCTCTGTCATATTGTTAAAAATAGTGGAAACTTAAAGGAAAAAACAATTTTTCAGAATCCATTCAACATTTTCTAAAAACGATTTAGGCATAGATAAAAGAAAAATATATAATTTTTTGGCTTTTCGAATTAATTTCTTATTTTTGAGTGAATTAAACCCTTTACAGAAACTTAAAAAAAAAAAAAANATTTGTCATGAAATGTCATGATTTTATCTATTTTTTAAAGACAGTCGTGGAAAGTTATGGATTTAGGTTGTTGAAGAATCTAATTTTTAAAATGGAATTTTAAAATTTCACAGTGTTTCGAAGATCTGAATTTCTAACAAAATCCCCACTCATAGTCATATTTTAGTAAAATATAAAATGTTTTAATCCTGTTCTTTAAAAATTATGGTGTTCTTTAAAAATATGAAAGAAGGAACATCATTTCTAGAGCGAGTTTTTTAAACTTCTGTGATTTCAGGATTTTTTGTCTATTTATTATTTTTATTTTATCAATGTAAAATTCTAGTTTAGGCTTTTTATATTACACTTTTAAGACAAAATAAAGCAGGTTTAAATAACTACATATATCTGACTGTATTTAGTTACTTGCTTTTGTATATTACTTTTTTTAAAGCTACTTTATTGCTTCAACATTTTCTTTACTCTGTTTTTTAAGTTAATGTTATTATGATACTTTTTTAAGTTTATTGTTGTGTTTTTGTCAGAGAATAGTAACTTTGGTAAGCCATTAAAAATTCTTGGAATTATTCTTGAATTTAGAAATCTAAAATGTAGCAGATACCCTGTCACTTGCATGTTGTGCTGTGAACAGAAATTGTCATAAGAACTCTAATGCAGAATTCTAACCCAATATCTAAAAAAAAACTTATAGATACAGATTTGATGTAAATGATAAATAAGTTTTGTTAAATTTTACATAAATTGGTAGACCAAAACATATTTTAAATCTTGAATTTAATTGTGCTTTAAATCATGACCTTTATGATTCAAGACAAGGTAGGCACAACACAGCCGTGTTTGTGAATAACTAAATCTTAATTTTCCACTAGATTTAAAAAGGTACCTTTTTTTTTTTACTTTACAATAAATTGTGGTTGCCAAAAAATTGATATGAGAAGTATAAAAAAATAATAATTTAATACAAGCCTTTTACAATTTGACTCCAAAATACTCTGAACTATAATATTAACTATTTCAATTTAATAAAAGGTAATGCAATCATTCAATAATCAATTTTAAAAGCACTAATGCAGAAAAAGACATATACGATTACATATTAACTGAACTGGAACATTTAGTAATTACAGACATGCACAATTCTCTTTGAATGACAAGCCATAAAATCAACAAAGTCATGTTGGGGACCAACAAAAATAACTAAAACTGTAATCATTAAAAGAAAGTATGTATTTGTAAGAATGCTGGAATCTCAAAATCCAAAAAAGTGGAAGCCAACCAAAAATTATTTCAAAGCATTTAATTTCAATCTTCCTTTATTTATTTATTTTGAATAGATGAAGGTTGACATAGTCTATAAATATTGATGGATGGTCCACATTAAACAGTTGATTTGCTTAAAAATGAAACTGCTCAAAGAAAAGAAAAAAATCTGGTGATTTATATAAAGTCTCCCGGTAAATAAACAATATTGAAGAAAAAAAAGTAATGAGCGAAATGCTATATGTAAAAAAAAAGAAAATATGTAATGAGGGAAATTAAATGAATAAAGTGGAATCTGTTCATCGAATTCTATCAGAGATGAAATTCTGGAAGGGGAGTGAGTTAACTTGATTCTATCTTGAGGTACCTTTTGATAGATGATGGTTGATATAGTCTAAGATTAAATCCCTTCGCCACCATTGAGGGGATTTAATTATAGACTATGTCAACCTTCATCTATCAAAAGGTACCTCAAGATAGAATCAAGTGTCTTATATACTAGTGAATTGGTTTTTAATATTTATAGTGGTAGTTACGCCACAGGCTAATTATTACTGCTTCTTGTTTTTGTAATATTTTAACAGTTATTCCATTATTTGCAGCTCCACCTTTAGTGTCGCGCACATGGAAGCTACCCAAAGTTCCTTCTTCATCTTTATACGATACACCTTCACAATTGGAAGGAAAATATTTAACTGCAGAAGTTCTACATCTATGTCGTCCATTAATGCATCGTATCCTTTTTAATTGAATCTAAACATATTGCTTTAGAAATGTGCTTTTTTTCATTACTGAATTTGGATTTGCTAAGAAAATTTAAAATGCTGCTAAGTAAACCTAGAATTGACGTGAGAATTCAGCAAAATTTATCTTAAGTTTTGAAAAGTGTTTTGAAATATCAGCAGTTGGTAGTGTTTGTCATATTCATTTCAAGGAATTATGACATCAATTGAATTCTCACAATTTTTATCACAAATGTTTGAATCTAATATTAGGCATTTTTATGATACACCTGTTATGTCTTTTAATTCTGATTATATATCATTCATTTCACTTGTTAACAGTGATTTTTTTTGGCAAATAACATTTTGTTGTCTAAACAATTCTGTTTAACAATTTCGTTTTTTTATTATTATATTTTTGTAATGTGCTAACACTATTAGATCATTAGCCAAATCCCTATTTATCTATAAGCATTTATTTAATATGGAAATCTTAGACATAAAATAATTAGCAGTTTCAGTTTGAAAAATTTAAAATTTTAATTAAAAATCATTTTATTCTGAAAATGTAAATATGTATACAGTGCACTCCCGATCATCCGGGTTAATCACCGGAACGGGTGGCACGGACAATCGAAAAACACGGATAATCCGAAAACTCCTTTTTATGAAAGAAAAAATAACCATCAGTACAAAAAATATAAAAAGGACTTACATTTGCATGCTTTCTTTATAACGTCACACTTGGAATTTTCCTTTTAAAATTTACTGCTTAAAAAAATGTGTTATGCATCTTTTCTTCTGCGGTTTGTTCATCATCTCTTGCCATATATTTACACATATTTTACGAACCACAGTAATGTCACCATAATCAAACCCTCTTTCTCCCATATATTCTAATAAAGTTTCCACACATTGTAGAGCAGCAGAATGAGAAATTGTATTTCCCTCATTTACTGCATCAGTACCATCATCACTATTTGATTTAACAAATAACGATGTCTTCATCTGTTAAATACTGGAAGCCAGGCTCACATGCACCACTTTGAAACCAATCTTCTAAATTTTCTTCATCGAGAATCTCGAAACCTCTGATTTCTTTTACTTGTTCATGAATATCATATTCTTCTTGAATATCTGAAGACAATTGTTTATCAAGCGATATGATCTTTCTCCAAGATCGTGATAATCTAGACGATTTAACCATGCTGCTGATATTCCAATAACTAATATTGCTTTCCAAGCATTTGGTATAACTTCATGAATCAAATGTTTCAGAAGCCATTTCATTGCTGAAATTACACCTTGATTCATAGGCTGTATCGCTGCTGTAACATTTGGAGGGAGAAATTTACCGGTAATCAATGCACGATAATCTTGAAAATTAAATTTTAATTAAATTTTAATTAAAATTATTTTAATTAAAATTAAAATTAAATTTTAATTAAAATTAAATTTTAATTAAATTTCTCTTTAAATTTTTTTGTAGCTCCGGAATGAGCACGGATAATCCGCAAACCGGATAATTGAGAGTGCACTGTATATATTAGTTTCTAAAATAAAATTATATTAATTTAAATCATAAAAATAGACTTAACATTTCAAAATTTACTCTGGAGATTTCAGAGAATTGGGTTTGAAGAGTAACCACCCTAGTTTTTCTGATAATAAAATTTGATAGAATAATAATTATTCTGACTTATTTAATACATTTAAAAAAATCATTTCGCCCTCAATTAATTTTAACAATCAATTGACAGTTATTTTGAATTGGAATACTGACTCTTGCCTGTTATTAACAATATTTTGCAAAAGATAATTTTTAAAGATGAACTCCAAGCTGAAATGCTTGTTGCTTATTTTTATGAAATTCCAGTAAAACCTCACTACAACAATATTTTGGAGACCCAATAAATATAGTGTTGTAGAGAGATATATCGAGGGCCTACATATTTTGGGGACACCATATTTTTAAAATGTTATATAGCTATAAATCTATTTCTAGATTATATAGAAATTTAGTTTGCAGAGTGGTAATTATGGTTAAATATGAAATCAGGTAGGAATGTGACTTCTTAAGAGATAAGGGAGGAAATTCTGAGAATGGATGGTCTGTGTACATCAATTATGGGGTATTGAAATCTGAATACAAAAGCCATTCACTGTGGTGAAAAGAAATAAGATAAGTACATCATCAGCAGTGAGACTTCTCTTAACCGGAAAAAAAGGGAAAATATGATTAAATAAGATTTTTTTAAATTTTTTGAAAACCAATTATAAATGGAGAAAATAAGGTTGAAATTTAAAAAAAAAAATTGTTTTGCAGGAATTCATTGCTTTAAAGAATATTGAGTGGAGGATTACATTGATTCATATGCAAGTTCGTCAGAACCCAGAACCATGAAACATTGTAATAGAGGGAACTATTGTTGTATCGGATATCGTAGTAACAAGAGTCCACCGTATATATATATACATATTAATTTCTAAAATAAAATTATGTTAATTTAAATCATGAAAATTTACTTAACGTTTCAATTTTTACTCTGGAGAATTGAGTTTAGTTTGAAGAGTAACCACCCTGGTTTTTCTGATAATAAAATTTGATAGAATAATAATTATTCTGACTTATTTAATGAATTAAAAAAAAATCATTTCACCCTCAATTAATTTTAACAATCAATTTACTGTTATTTTGTATTGGAATACTGACTCTTGCCTGTTATTAACAATATTTTGCAAAAGACAATTTTTAAAGGATTCGATGAATCCGAGCTGAAATACTTATTTTTATGAAATATATTTATTTCATGGCTTTAAAATGCTGTAATTTTTATATGATTTGTTTCCTTAACTTTTAAAATAGTTATTTCAATGGGTGCGTTTGGGGAGTTTTCTTGGAAACCCTTTTTTGTTGCTTTGGCATTGGATGTGACGAGGTAAATAGTGATTCTTTTTCATTATCTTATTATTTCATTCAAGAGGGGACTTAAATTCAAATTTTTCATAATAATAAAGTACGGGAAGGGTACCCTAATGAGTTTAACACTGTAAGTGGTTTTTAGAATATTTTCAAGGATATAGAAATAATTAAATAATCTGCAATAACTATCTACAAGGATATTTATTTAAACTTTAAGAAAGATAAAAAAGAATATATGAAGAAGTTTGATATAAATGCATATTTTTAGATGTAGCTACAGGTAAATGAATATAATTTTCCAATTAGTATAGATACTATAGAATAGGAGCTTTCAGTCCTCAGTCGGTTTCAATTATTAGGTTTACATCCCCTTACACCAACCTATCATTTGATAGGGAACGTGATGACTAACTTCTGGAAAGTAAACCTCCCATGATTCACAGAGAAAAAAAGTTATGCATACCTGTAAGTCATAAGGACCTATGGAGTTGATTATTCACAATTGATCAGCTATCAAGTGTCTGAATAAATGTTTCATTTGTGTGAACACCTTAACTGAACCTTCTGTTCTCTTTTTTACCTCAGCTGTGTTAAATTGATAAAAAAATTAAATAAATTTTCAGTTGGCAAGAAGCATTGACAGCATTGTCATTTCAACTTGAGGGTTCTCATATATCCTGTGTATCAAAAGATGCAGCTGTTTAAATTATTTCAGGAGAGCAGTATAATTTTCTCTCCTTTCTTTACAAAGGTAAGGTAAGGTGACAGGAGAAAGATTGATTCTTCAGTAGTGAAATAGCTTAACATTATTTTTAGTTACGGATCAGGCAAAAAGTTTACACATTTTTTTCCTTGTAATTTAAAGCAGAAATATTTTTTTTTTTTCAAATTTAGAAAAAATAGTGTCCTGTTTGAAGAGATAGAAAATAACATTTCAGGGACAAAATTACTATCTGCGTCCGGTTACAGGAGTGTCCGCTTTGCGGAGAATGTACATAAGGGTTTATTCATAGAAGATTCCTGGGAAATTAAAAATATGTCCGTATTGTGAGTCGTCTGTTTTGCAGGCGTGTCCATAGCAGGAGGTTTCACTGTATATATAATTAAATCTTTAATGTTTTGTTGAAAATCATCCTTATTCACACAATTTAAGCGGATACATTTTGCAATATACATATTGACCAAGAGTAAAAATTTAGTCTCTCATTAGTAATTAAAAGATATTACCTACTAGTCCCCACATAGCTGTGCCATTAAAAAAAACATAGTAAGTGCTGCACAATAGATTTTGTGAAAAGTGAGCTTAAAACTATTTGCTTTCTATTGCTAATGCTATGAACTCTAAAATAGAATTTCGAAATACTGATAANTTTTTTTTTTTTTTTTTTTTTTTTTTTTTTTTTTTTTTTTTTTTTTTTTTTTTTTTTTTTGCTGTCCGTCACTTATCATACAAAATTGCCGAATATCCTTCCCTACACTAATGGAAGAGGCACTTTCAGTTTTTTTTAAATTTCTCAGATGATTATTTTCTAGCTTTAAAAATCTGAGGTTGGAGGAACCGTTAATAAATTAGGAACAAGTATTTTTGAATACGCTATAGAAGCACGTAGATATAACTTTTCCATGGGGGTGTTCAGAAATTCAAAACTGTCAAATAGAAGTGAGGTTAAATTTAAATCTGGTGTCTAAACTTATGCTTTATAGATTTTTAAATGGATTGAATTTTTAAAACTGATAGATTAAATCGGTAACGTTTAAAACTGAGTAATGTATTAATAAATTTAAAACTAAATTTTATTTTAAATCTGTATTAGAAAATCTATTAATTTTGAAACAAGAAACTAAGAATACTATATATATATATATATAAGGGGTCTGTCCAGGCCGAAATNATATATATACCATATTTCTTATAGTCTAGTAAAATTAGACTTTTTTCTACTAAAAGATTTATACAAAAGATTTTTTTTCTTCATAAAAAGCTGTTTTGTTACTGCCTACCCTGAAAACTCCCTAACTGCATACACTTTTCCGCTTTTTGAGGGTTAAAATGAGCATATTTTCCGTGAGAAATATTTTTCGGTATATATCTTCTCACTGAATTTAATGAGACCAATTCCAAGACAATAAGTGTAATAATTTTGAAGTTATAAGAATTTTATGTATAAAAAGTACAAATTTGCACTTGAACCTATTTACGCTTCTGATATTGCTATCTGACACAGAAAGACATTGTTTTCTTTGCATTCATTCGTGTATTATACATGAGTCAATAAAACAAAATTTAAAAGTTTGAAGAATTTTTATGTATAAATACTTTTTTTTCTTTGTGCGAACTGATGTATGCACTTTATATTGCTATCCACAAACTATCTGCACATGTTATGTAAATTTTCCGATGCGAATGTTGATGCAGTTATATGAGACCAATCCCAACACGATCAGACTAATAGTTTAGAAGTTGTAAGCGTAATTGTAACAAATATAACTCTGTTGCCATACATCACAATGTGCGCATTTTAAAACATTGAAGAATGTGAATGTTTCAATAAACTTTTAGTAGATTAGAAAATATTACAAATATCTCTGTTTAGCTTTCTACCTTTATCAATGCCTTTTACATCACTATTAGATACCATACATTCTAAAGTTTGATTATTGATGTGACAAAATCGTCTATTAGCTTCGATAGTTATATAAGCCGAATACTTTGCAATAATAAAATTTCTCCTATTCTAGCGACAGTTATTATCATAAAATGTCAACTTACTGTTAAAAGTTTGCTTTATCTAGATTTGCACTGCTTATTACGTATGTGGCGTAGTTTTAATGTATGTCCGAGGAGGTTATTGGTATCTAACTTCTGTTGTCGTCGGCCATTAAGACAGATGGGGTGTGATTGCTCTTCTTTTCATGTGGTGCATCTATGGCCAAGAATTCGACTTCTGCCACACCCCTACTTCAAACCCGTACCATGTAAAGTCTTTGAAAATTATTTTGCAGATGTATATAGTCCTTAAAAAGTATTTAAAAGGTGCTTAGTTTTGGTTGCAAGAATGTCCAAATTTCTTGCATCTATAGCACAGTCTTGTTTTACTGCACTTCTTTATCACCCAGTACAGCTCCACTGCAAGGTTTAGTAACTTGATTTTTGTAACCGAAATTTTGCTTTTCACATTTGAATAGGTTTGAGATACATTTACTGAATGCAGTTACAAATCTTATATGATTTAGTTTTATGATTTCAAAGGTTAAAAATTTTTATTTAAAAACAATTAAATTTATTAGTAATTTGATGCTTGCACAAATTGGTCAAAGAGGTGAATTGAGATAGAATGAGGTAGATTTTGTTCTTGTTTTTCACATTTGAATAAGTTTGAGATACATTTACTGAATGCAGTTACAAATCTTATATGATTTAGTTTTATGATTTTAAAAGTTAAAAAATTTTATTTAAAAACAATTAAATTTATTAGTAATTTAATGCATGCACAAATTGTTCAAAGAGGTGAATTGAGATAGAATGCTAATTTACTTTTATTAACAATTATTTTGACTGTATGCACACTTTTAAGATAAGATTCTAAAATTGAATCTTCAAATTGAAGAAACATTTCCGTTTCTCTGCTTTGTTATTTTTGCATTTAATATTTTGTGATTCCACCCAATTAACAGTTCAGTAATAAAAATGTTACATTTACTTAATGCGATTCTATCAAAGTTTTTTTTTTTCCTGCTTAAATCACAACACATCTTTATTAATTGGTTAAGTCAGTAATATTATTCTAATAAAAAAAAAGAAAAAAGCTCTTAATGTATCAGAATAAATTTTACAGATTTGATGAAGATGGGAATTGTTGAAATTGTGAGAAAAAAAAAGGAGAGCTTTAAACAAAATTTCTCTTAATTACTTTCTGCTCTCTCTCTCTCTCTTTTTTGAATAATTATTTTGCAATTTCTGTAGCTAATCTTAAATGAAACCAATATTAAATAAATTTTTGAGACTTTTCGCAAGAATCAATTCATTTTTATTCAGTAAGGACTTCTAATTTTGTTAAATTTTAGACTTATTTGGTAAAATGACAGCCGAAAGCTAAGTTAAGTAACTTATTGTAAAATTTCTGTTCTTGTTAGTAGCATCCTGTATCTTAATAAATATTGTTTATCTGATATTTTAATATTTATGTAAGGAACACTAACTAAATCATTTCAGAGGCAAAATTTTAAATAGTTGAAGAACATTTTAACATTTATCAAATGCAGTAAGTAAGAAATCTTTAGTGATATAGATTTCATTTTAAAACAATAAACTTGTTATTTTAACGTTTGTTTTAAAAACAATTGAAATTAAAAGATGTCATGTAGAGGGACCTATCAGTATTGGTACCATATAATGTTGTACTTCTTACTAAAATGCTTTGCTTTAATACGCATTGTAGTCTAATTATTAAATTGTTGAAAATTTTTTAATCATTTTGTTAAAAATACTAAAACTAAATTACAAATTTTAATAAAAATTTAATTGAACATTCACTTATTTATTTACGTCACTAAATTGGATATACATTCATAAATACTGTTTTTTTTTCAATCTTGATACACCCAATAACTTTTTCAAACTAAAGTTTTACTTATTGTAATTTTAAATGAATGTTAATTTTTCATAAATGAATACAGTTAATTGTTATTTTGAAAATTAAAAAAAGAGTAAACCTATATTGAATATATTTAAAGTTGTGCATAAAATGTTTTTATGGTGTCTAATAAAATCAAGAACGGAGTTTTTGCCAAAATTTATTATCATGATTATTTAGAGACTTTGAAAATGTTTTTGTGTTTTAATAACATAATGCAGATATGTATGTAGAACTTTCAACAATAGGAAGAAAAATTTGTTAATAGTGTGCATATCCTAATTTTATTATTTTTAAAAAAATTGTTTTAAAAATATTTTTGAGTGCTTGAAAAGTTCTTAAAAGGTGCTTTTTTTGTAGAAAAATTTGACTGTTAATCTTTAATGGGTCCTCAGAAGTATTCTTTATTTTTTTTAATCTATTAATGGTCCAACTTTTGTTTGAAACATGTTCGGGACCATGTCTTTGGATAAGCAACTTTTATTATTGCCTGCAATAACTTTTCAATTATCTTAAATTGTTTTTGAACTATAGAAAAGTACCCAAAAAAGGAAAATAAATATTGAAGGTTATAAACTTTCTATGTCTACTTTCTATTTCTTCCTGATTGTTTCTACTCCCTTTATTTTGGGTATCAGAAATCCATATCCATCTAAAGGAAGTTTTGTTTGCACAGAGCTTTGAAGATTTTGCACCTGATTTAGTAAGTTACAATATCGTCTGTAATAATTAATTAGAATATTTGAGATCACCCCTGTCAACCATTAAAATAAGTACGTGAAAATCCAATCCTTAGATGAAAAGTCATTCAGGGGATTTTTTTTTTTTATTCACTGCTTGACAAAAATTTGAATGTACTGTATGTTAACAATAGTGACTGTTATTATCAATTGAGGCAGTTGTGTTTGCCATGACTCATTAATTTTAAAATATGAACTAATTTTCTACATCTAATATCGAAGCTTATAAAAGTTTTTAAAGAATGAGTTGGACATTGAGTATCCCTTTGTAATTTGTCAGAAAATCAATAAAATGGACATAAGGATATTTTGTCTGACCTTTGAAGGATGGACTTTATAGCTATTTTAGGTAATTGTCAATTTTCTTGTTATCTATAATGAGGTAATACCACCATAAAAAGTTTGGTTCTTCATTATTGAAGTAGTGAGAAGCAGATGGGGGCCAAGGCTAAGTCGTGGCCCTGTTGATACTCAATATCTCATTCTTATATACAAACATGAATGTCCCTTAACTGAGTGTTTTTGAAAATTATTTTTTGTTAATAATATGATGAATGATGCCATTAATACTGTTTGTATATTTTAGTTTGCATATCTTGAGAGAGAAGAAAGATTACGTAAGAGCTGAGAGGCTGGAAATGAATCGCCGTGTAATGTCTTTCATTGTGTATTTGCTGAGATCTCCTTTTTATGACCAATATTCTAAGTAAGAAATTCACTATTTTTATTTTTACAGATTCCATATAATAACATGGTGCATAGCATTTTTAAAAAAGTGCTTAAAGGTGCTTATTGTTGTTTTTTAAAAGCTCTTCAAGTTGCTTTTTCCATGGGGTGTTTTTAAAAAGTGCTTAATTTTCCCTTTCTGAAGATTAGATTTTCTATTTTTGCTGCATATTATGCAAAAGTGTGGTTTTCACATTGTTCTCTTCAACATTTTTACAATTCATTTAACCACAATCCATTTGGGCATACAATCTGTACGTAACATACGATGGAGCCAACCGTGTTACACTTTTGATGAAATACTTGGGAGCAACTACAGAGCTGGGTTCGGTGAGATTCTCTCATGTGCAACTCTTGCTGCATTTTGCAATGATTTTATTTTCCACCCTCTGAAATTGAACCGAAAAAATCTCTCTATCTTTTTATGGTGGCTTATGTAATCAGAAACTACTTATTTTTTCATGATCATGTAAAGTCTTTGAAAATTATTTTGATTTTTGTTATTGCATATTGCGCTTAAAAATTTTTTTAATGTGTAAAAGGTGCTTCTTTTTTGTTGAAAGATACGACCATGCGCCCTGAAAAAATTATAAAATGCAGAAGTACCAGTCTTTACACTTCTGCTAATGAACATTTTTTAAACCCTAGAACTGAAATACCTAGATTACAAGTATGAATATTTGCTACTATGCTGTTCTAAAAAATTATTAGTTTAATTTCAATGAATTTATTTATTTTCAATTCTAAATGCTATTTTGTTTATCCTTGCAAAAAATAAAATAAGTGAAGTGTGGATAATCGGCAATTTACTTGTACTGGCTACGTACTGTATTAAAACTGCTGAAATTAAGCAAAAATATAAATGTTTGGCAATTATTATTCTCCCAAAAAGTGCGTAACCTATAGTGATTTTCCAGATCAGAAGGCCTAGTTTTGGCAATCAAATTGTTTATAATTTTATAATAAAAACTACCATATTCTCTACTATTTTATACTATTGATTTCTTTATTCACTTTTTTAAAAAAATATTTACACGTAAATGTTAAAATGAGAATGAAAGATTCATATTTAGCTCAAAATTCAACTAAGTGAACTATTAATGTCCTGAATATAATTGGTTTTTCTTTTTTTATCTTCAATGTAGGACTCAACTAATTAATGTTCTTCAAAAGATAGCCGACAATTTTTTCGGAAGTGGAATTATAATACGTAAGTTTTGTTTCATTGTTTTTTTAATATAGAAAATTGTATGTTTTAACACAACTCATGAATGTCCAGCCATAAAAAGTGGTCTTATAGGGTAGTACTTTACACCACCTGGATCTACCACTTTAGGTTATGATATCTTGTTTCAGCAAAATAAATCATTAATAATTAAACAGTTTTTTTTCCCCCTTTGGTAAAAGAATTGTGTTGTGGAATGTCAAAAGAATGCAAAGGAAATGGAGGGAATTTATTTCAATACCTATAATTTAGCTTCTCAAACAATGTTTGCACTACATAATGTTGTATAATAATTTTAAAAAAAATTTAAATGTCTTGTTTAATATTTCATGCAAAAACAAATTTCTAGTTTTCTTCAAAAAATAAGTTTTCTTTAAAAAATAAATAATAAGTAAAACAGAATTTTTTTTTCTCTTTCTACTTTCTAAGTTCAATTTTTTTTTTTGTTAAGACACTTTTTGGATTATATTATTAGAAAAATTATTTTAAGGTATTTCTCATGAGAAATGTGAATGCAAAATTTTGTCTATTCCATTTTAAATATTTGAGTGACAACAATTAATTAAAGCTCAAATGTATAAATAGTAAAGCTTTTTAGTCTCAAAATCAGTTATTCTAAGTCTTACATAAACTTTCCTCACAGATTAGTAAATTTTCTGAGACTTCACAATGCTCTCTTTACTTGATCCAGAAGTTCTGTGGTCTTTTGAGTTATAAGGTTTAAACATCTGAAAAGCAATAGATTTGTTTTCTCTTCAATTGCTGCCAGATTTTGATGTTTTTATGTCTCATTAGACCAAGTTTCTTATTTAAAGAATTTACAATTACAGGGATGTGATTCTTACGCGGATTCGCCGATTTCCGCCTTTTTTTTCAGATTTTTCCATTTCTCCCGCTAATTTCCGCGAAAAAAATTTTTTTTGCACAAGTTAAAATATTTTGAAGAATTTAATTTTCCGCGGAGCGAAAGACCTCATTCCTCCCTCTGAAGTTTCCCTAAAAATCATTTCCTTGTGATAAAACTGGTTGACCTTTATAATCAGGGATGAGATTTTTCGTTTTTGTCTCTCGAATTTCAACCTTTTTATCAAAAACTCTGATTCTCTAAAAGTTTCGGGTTTTTTTTTTATAAACATCCCGCTTTTTTTTGTAAAAATTCAGTCATTGAAACAAAACAATTATTTGTTTCAATGACTGAATATTTATTTACGATTTTCAAAGATAAACAGAAAATTCAAACTACTTCCTAGCTGCTAACCCTTCCACCTTTTACTTATTTTAGCTATTTTCTCCGATTTTACGCACAGAAAATAAGCTTTTTCGTATTTTTTTCCGTCGCCTGATAGCTCGTAGTATTTTCGTAATTCAGACGTTGCCGCTTCCTGTTTCTTGGCGCGAAAGCAAACGGAAAAAAAAAAATTATGTGGATTTGCGGTGAAAATATTTGCTCATACAATTAATCTTGTAAATTTTTATTTATTATGTCTAAACAAAAACAATACATACAAGCCTTTTAGAAATCCCTAGTCCAGACTCCGCAAATATCTCAAAAATCGCGATTTTATTATCAAAAATCTATTTTCGCATTTATCTGATTTAAAAGTTGAACGTTGCGATTCTTATTCGGGTGATTTAAATATCGCACATCGCGATTCTTATTTACGAGATTTAAAAATCCAATATCGCGATTTGCATTTACGCGCTTTTAAAAGCTTATGTAGCGATTCGTATTCACGCGAGCTTAAAATCAAATGTCGTTATTCGTTTTTGCGGTTGTATTAATGCGTGCTTTAAAAATTAGACATTATGATTCATATTCGCGCAATTTAAAAATTATGCATCGTGATTCGTATTTACGTGATCTAAAAATTATACATCATGATTTATTCTCTCAATTTAAAATCATGCATGTGATGCATATTCATACAATTTTAAAATTAACCATTGGGATTTATAATGACATGATTTACAAGTTTAAAAATCGCACTTTTTTATCAAATTTTTGGATTTTGAATATATATATATATATATTTTTTCTTGTATTTCCTCTTTTTCACTTTTTGACTACTCTCATCCCTGCAATTAAAATGCAGTTGTTTTTCCAAGCCATACTCAAATTTATTATAAGATTTATTTTAGAACCATTAGTATAAGAATAATAATNACATAATAACTTGTTTAGTACTATATATATATATATTTTCTTGTATTTCCTCTTTTTCATTTTTTGACTACTCTCATCCCTGCAATTAAAATGCAGTTGTTTTTCCAAGCCATACTCAAATTTATTATAAGATTTATTTTAGAATCATTAGTATAAGAATAATAATGCAATTAATATATCCACTGAGAAAATTGAAAACCTACAATAATTTATCTTTAATAAAAGAGACAAAGTTTGCAAAACTTGAATTTGTTTTTTTAATTAAAAAAAATCATAGTTAAGATTTTTTTTTGATTTTTAGGACAAGTTATATTGTTCTTTTTTCACTTACGATTAAGTTATCTTTTGGTATAAAAACTTTTTTCTTTGCAGTATTTTGTCCTCAATTTTATTTTCCTAAGACCCTTTATTAAAAAAGGTTGTGCACTCCAATAGTACACTTCAATATTTCATTTAAGTACAATTTGAATGTACTTATGAAATAAATTAGCAATCCATGATAATATCATTTAAAACTATGTCACATAAACATGAGAAGATGGATAGTTATAGCGAAAATTTAAAAATTTCTTTCTTTATTGCCCCCTGGTCCCCACTTTTTTTTTCTCTAAAAATGCACCCAATATGCTCCAAAATTCATTTTTCAAACTTTTCGCATTGCTAACCCTGAAAAGCTGTAATTATCCCTGAAAACTTCAACAGTTATCAAAGCTGAAGATTTTTTACTTCATTAACTAAAATAATAAGACAGTCAAATAATAATATAGTGAACACGTTTTATAGTGAGTTCCTGGATATGGTGAACGAAATATTCACTCCTGTGCCCTCCTACCCATGTATAATGTTATTTTTTGTGGATATATTGAACCAAAAAAAAAAATGAAGAAGTTGGATATTATGAACGTTTTTTTGTCTTTGACTGATTTATTTTCTTCAGTTATAATACATATTCATAAAAATTATGAAACTTCTACTTCAGAATAAATGCATTTTCCGATTTTTTAAACCATCAATAGCATGGGATATAGCATTCTTGTTTGCTTCATTATTGGATAGCATCATTGAATTGGTTCAGCATTCAAGGAAAACGCAATCTTCCAGTATCTGGATAAATTTGCTGAGACTACTTTTATGTGCTCGAATGACTGGGTTTAGAAAGCGAAATGACATAAATTCAGGAAAAGTATCTGAGAATCGGGAAGTGTTTTCATCTCTGATATGAGAATTGCTCATCAGCTAAAGATTTTTTTTTTTTTTGTACGCAAAACAAAAAGTTATAAAAAAATGTACACATTTTTGTTTCTACGTATTATTTTCCAGTCATTTATTTTTATTTCATTTTATGGGTCCTTTATTTAATGAATGTGTAATGAAAGGAGGGAGTTAAGTTAAAATTGTTAGCGGAACGGATGTATTGAAGTCCCGGAACCGAAATTTCTGTCCCTTGAGGGTTCACGACAGCAGGATTTGACTGTATGAAGTATAATTGTTTTAATGTTACTTGCTCATATGAAACAATTACTTTTTCTTCTTTTAGGTCCACTGATTGAGTATCTTCCTGAGTGGCAGAAGATTTATTTCTATGTTTGGTCTTGAAAATTTTGTTGGGTTTTTCTGGTTAAATCCTTTCATTATTGTAATTTTTAATAAAGTAAATATTTAATGACTTTTGTAAATTTATGTGTGTATTTAATCACAGATTTCTTCAATTTTAGTCTAAATATTTGAAAAACATTCTGGAAGCCGGTTCACTTACCATTGGTTCGTCTAGATCAGGGGTTTCCAACTTACATGAGGTCGGGGGGTCACAAATCAAATGGCGGGCTTTATCAAAAGTTTTTGTAGGACTCTTTTTATGTTTGAAGGAACATTACTGTCAGAGTTTTACTAAGTTGTATAAAACAAAAGTATAGAATGACGAATTAAAATAAGAAGTAGATTTTTAAAAAGATTTAATTGTTATTAATAATATTTTTAAAAATATTCAATAAATAATAAAATTTCGGGATACACTAACTTTAATGTGCACCTATGTATTAAACAATTAATGTGCAACAGATATCTAATTGTTAAGGTATTAAAACTTACATAGTAGCACACAAAATATTCAATGAGAAAATTGAGGTTTTGTCTGATGCAACCACCAGAGAATAGATATTTACATTTAAAATTTACAAATGTGTGTGTAAATATTCTCGTACAAAATGGGTGGTTTCAAAAAGTTAAATCTGATAATTTCTTTGAGAAAATTTCTGATACGCACATGCTAAATTATATTCACAAAATACAAAAAAAGTGAAGTAAAAAAGACAAACATATACGATTATGTTTGTATTTGAATAAATTTTTTCCTGAATTCAAAGCCTGAAAAATAAATTTCTTTGCACCGTTGGTATGTTAAATTTTATAGAAACGAAGAAATTAGGCTTTTATTAACGAGAGAAGTATTTTAAACCCATATAGATTTTCTTACGAAAATTGTCCGCAAAAAAAATGACAACTAATATATTTTAGTTCGCGCGCCACAAAAAAAAGGCTTCGCGGGCCGCCAGTTGGAAACCCCTGGTCTAGATTGCACTGACAATAATACATCCAGTGGTATAAAGGGTCACAGGGGAAAATAATCTAACCATTTTTCTATTAATGTAAAGCAAAGCTTTCTTCAATTCCTCCATGAAAGTGAAAACTTTACCAAGGAGTTCTCTAAGCTCGCTTCAGAATCGCAAAACTGCGGGTTTTAGCGTTAAAAGTAAAATATCATCTTGACGAATTAATACCAGTACTAAAATGAAGTGAATACGTCTTGCGCTAAATTAATCTTATATAATTTTTTGTTTGTTATTATTTATTTACTTTTGAGTAATTTATTTTATTTGTATGAAATGAGAAAGAAAAATATTCTCAGATAATCGTTTAGAATTTATTTTTGTTTCGTAAATGTGCATTGAAAGGTTTATTCCCTTTCTTTTTCATTAGTAGATTGACGACTAATACATATTCAATTTAATATGCTTTAAAATTCATGAAAATAAAAACATAAAAGATTTTTAAAAAAATCAAAGAGTGTAATATTTTTTTTTTTGGAAATTATTTGCAACATATATAATAACTTGTTTAGTACAATTTTATTACACTTTCCATAGGTGCACATAGTTATTCTTTAAACCAAAATTTCATTCCGTATTTTTGCAAATTTTAAATACAGTGATAGCTTGATATATCAAGATTCGTATTGCGAGGAAGTCTGATATTACGATACCTTCAAATCATTAATATTTAAGATACAAAAATTCTTTCCTTATAACGAGTTTTAAAAAAATATTAGCTTTCTGCTATAGCAGCAAAAATTTATTTTAGAAAAATGCATTTTTCTGTTATTGAAATTAACAAAGTTATATGAAAGAGGACAAAATGGAAGACGCTTTTATTTATGACTGATATTAATGTAGAAAATGAACATCATTTCACCTTATTTTCCTCTTCCAATCATAATCCTTTAAGTTATTAAAGCATATATATTTAGATAACCACCAGCTAAATTATCTTCCTATAGTGAAAAAAATCTTTTGCTGTAATCAGCAATATTGTCACTTACTTCAGTTGAATGTACAGTCCGCAGAAAAAGAACGAATCACCCTGAATATCTTTCGTTCTAATAGTCGGATTTTCACGAACTAAGTGTCAATCTTAATGGTTCCTGGGGGTGACCTCAAATATGCTAATTAACTAGTGCTAACTATTAATTAAGTTATGAATTCAGACACAAAAACGTACTTTCTCTGAATAAACATATATTTTTTTTTTACATATTTGGAATCCTGACCCTTGAAATGGGGGGGAAGGGGGTACACTATGTATATATAAAATAGTGCATTAAAGCAAGGAAATTCGAAGACACTTTTCAATGTTAACAAATGGCCCGATATCGGCCCTAATATTAACCTATAATATTTTAATTGGGCCACGTATTATATTTCCTAGGAATAGTGTACCCTACCAAAGAAATAATTATAGATCCACCACTGCATATGCATATCTAAAATAAGTGTTCAGAAAAGCTTAAAATTAGGAAATTCGCCTTCTAAAGAGCTTTAAAAATTCAAACACATTTTTTAATGTTAACTAACTAACGCAAGGCGCGACTTCAGACCTTAATATTGACCCATAATATTTTAATTGAACCACGTATTATATTACCGAGTAATAGTGTACCCTACCAGAGGAAATAATTATAGGTCAATTAGGGGGTACACAATGAGGCCCTGTATTTTACTGTGTACGTGTATCTAAAATAAGTGTTCGGAAGAGCTTAAAATGAGGAAATTCGCCTTCTAAAACCCTTTAAAATTAGGAAGCGCGAAGTCATTTTTCAATGTTAACGTAAAGCCCGGTATCGGACCTTAATATTGACCCATAATATTTTAATTGGACCACGTATTATATTACAGGGTAATAGTGTACCCTACCACAGGAAGTAATTATAGACCCCATAGGGGGTACACTATGCATATTTAAAATAGTGCATTAAAACAAGGAAATTCGAAGACATTTTTCAATGTTAACAAACGGCACGATATCTGCCCTTAATATTAACCTTTAATATTTTAATTGGGCCACGTATTATATTACCTAGGTATAGTATACCCTAAATGAGGAAATAATTATAGACCCATAGGGGGTACACAACGTGACCATAAAGTTTACTATGTATGTATATCTAAAATGGAGTTGCGTAAAGCTTTAAAATGAGGAAATTCGCCTTCTAAAACCCTTTAAAATTAGGAAGCGCGAAGTCATTTTTCAATGTTAACGTCAAGCCCGATATCGGCCCTTAATATTAACCTATAATATTCTAATTGGGCCACTTATTATATTACTTAGGAATAGTGTACCCTACCAAAGGAAATAATTATAGACCCACCAGGGGGTACACAATGTGGCCTTGTATTTTACTGTGTATGCATATCTAAAATAAGTGTTCTGAAAAGCTTAAAATGAGGAAATTCGCCTTCTAAAAAGCTTTAAAAATTCAAACACATTTTTCAATGTTAACTAACGCAAGGCGCGACTTCAGACCTTAATATTTTAATTGAACCACGTATTATATTACCGGGTAATAGTGTACCCTACCAGAGGAAATAATTATAGGTCAATTAGGGTGTACACAATGAGGCCATGTATTTTACTATGTACGCGTATCTAAAATAAGTGTTCGGAAGAGCTTAAAATGAGGAAATTCGCCTTCTAAAACCCTTTAAAATTAGGAAGCGCGACGCCTTTTTTCAATGTTAACGTAAAGCCCGATATCGGACCTTAATATTGATCCATAATATTTTAATTGGACCACGTATTATATTACAGGGTAATAGTGTACCCTACCACAGGAAATAATATTAGACCCCATAGGGGGTACACATTGTGACCCTAAAGTTTACTATGTATGTACAGTACCCTTCCAAATTATTAGGGACACTTAAAATTTCTAAAAAATTGTCATTTCTCAAAGTGTCATAACTTTTTCAAAAACGAATCAATTTTCATAAAGATTTCCGGATATCATGTTCAGGTCTTCTACTTTTACCTAAAAATTACTAATTTAATTTATCTCAATTTTTTGCAAAATTTTGCACATTTGAACAAGGCAATTTTTTTTTTTTAAAAATGTCAAGTCTGACAAGTTGCTACTTTGTAACAAAATTTTTTGCATAAAAATTATTATTTACACATTAAAGAACAAGTCATTAACTTTAAAACGCGCTAAAGTAAATGACTTTACGATTTTTTTTGACCGATATATAAGATTTTGAAAATGTTTTGTCATTTATAGTGAAAACGAAATTATTCTTAATTCGAAAATTCTGCACAATCATTGATTCACAAGATGCTCTCATTAACCTAATTTCCCGATGTACACACGCAATACATTCATCATGTCATGAGTGGCTGGCAGAAAGGGCGATCGTAGCAGCAAAAAATGTGGCGAATTGTATCTGAAGATACAATTAGCCAACAACAGCCAGGTAACTTGGTGACATATAAATCCGTTGATGCAATTTGCGATCTCATTGAAGCTGCAAATTTTCCAACAGAGTTTTTAAACTCATTGGATTTACCAGGCATACCACCGAATAATTTAGTACTTAAAGTTGGATCTCCGGTTATTTTGCTTCGTAATTTGAACCCACCACAGCTGTGCAACGGCACGCGATTGGTCGTTAAAAAATTAATGAACAACGTTATCGAAGTCATTATTTTAAATGGAAAATTCCGGGGTGAAAGTGTATTACTTCCACGAATCCCTATTATACCCACAGATGTGCCAATTCAATTTAAACGCATTCAGTTCCCCATTAGATTGGCATTTGCAATGAGAAGGCCAAGCAATGTCTGTTTGTGGCTTAGATTTGAGCACACCATGTTTATCACACGGCCGTGGCATGCTCTCGAGTGGGCAAACCATCTAGTTTATTTGTGTTAGCTAAAAATGGAATGACAAAAAATATTGTTCACTCCATTGCACTATGAGATTATTGTTGACTAATATTTTCAGAATTCGCTGTATATACAATTTATAAAAAATATTAACATAAATTTAAAAAAAATATTATTTGGTGTGTTGTTATTTTCACATTCCGTCATTGTTCACAACGCTCCATGCCTCTTCCC